CTTTGGAGCGTAATACGTTCGTTCTAGCACGTATAAAAGTACGATAATACTGATGACATACATAAATGCGAAACGACACTCATTGACAAATTTTATAATTAAACATACTTTATGTATCAATTTGTCAAAGACGGTAATACTTTTTCATAGAAATCTCGCAAAATATTTTTCTTTCGAAATATTATCATACTTTGTGAAGCCTAAAATACGTTCAAATTGACGAAAATATTTCTTCAGCGCTTCGTCACAAAACTACACTTGACTATATTGACTAAACAGCGTAAAAAAAATTGCATTCTATTTCGTCCATTTATGCGCACTTATTTCCTTAAGAAACAAGGATATATCTTCTAGAATTTGCAAGTAATATTTGACTACGTTATAAAATTTTTATCCGTATCTCAGCCTATAACAGTATATATCTTTTTGGAAGTAAATCAATAAATAGATCATGTGTCCGCAACTTATGTTAAATTCTTTTTCAAGTATGTAATATCTCATTCCATGGTAGCATTTTTTAAAAATAACGTTAATTTCGTCGGATAGTCTGTCATTACACCGGTAGCTCCAAGATCAAAAGCTTTTTTAAATTCTTCCTCTTTATTTAATACCCAAAAGTAAACCTGCAAAAGTATGCTCGAATATTTTTATACACTCCAATTGATTTGACGTTTTAAAAAATTCAATTAAATAGGCCGTTCACTCACGTGTATTCCCCGAGCTCTTAAATGATTAAATAAGCATGGTCTCATTAGAAGTACATTAATAGTGCGTACAAGTACTTTTTCTAAAGATAAAAATGTTGTATCTGGACGTCCTCTCCGTCTATAAGGAGGCAACGTAGGGTAATTCAAATTCAATAAGAGATAGTAAGTTTTAAGATACCTTAAATAAATGGAAGGTAGAAATATCTCCAAATGAGTTTCCCTCAAAGGTACAAATGGTAATAAACCAGTGTATAAAAGAAGTATCAACAGAGTTACACGTCTCATAGAAAAGAGCAAATTTACGTTTGGATTCTGTAGAGAAGGATAATTGAATTAATATTGAAATAATATCGTATTCCTATCTTTCTTAACTTCTATACTAGCTACCGTTTCGTAACATTTTTTCGTTATTTTATCGCTGAAATTTCCCCATACTGTATAATCCTCTCGATTGTATTCTTTTATTAAATCCGATACTTTTTTTATAAGTTCATCGTTGTTAATTTTAATATCAATATTAATCGGTATATTAGGAAATGCTTCAAATACTTCCTTCAACAAAGCAAATTTCCTATCTTCCTCATTTTCTGAGCCAATATACTCCACATCTGTGAAGCTAGTTTTTTTAATCATATCATCCACAAACAAGTTTTATCAAGCCAATCAGCCAGTTATACCTGGATCAAAATCTATTGGAAGACGTGGTTTCAATAAAGGTAAATCTTCGTAATTCACTTCAGAAATGTTCATATTTGAGCCTGTACTACGGAAAAGATTAAGATCATGCGATACAACAACCTCTCCATCTTTTGTTAAATGACAATCCAATTCTAACATCTGTGTGCCAACTGCAACAGCTCTAAAGCGTAAAGAGGTATATTTTTATGTGGAAAATACAAGAATGCTTGTTACCTCATCTTAAAACAACGAATAAGTTTATCGACGAACCGTTTAAAGGCACACATGGTGTTTTCATAGCCTTCTCCAGCTCCTGAAAAAATATGATTTTATCAATAAATTTGCTTAGGAATAGTCACTTAGATGACCATATATTCGAAAACACACCGCCTCTGTGGCTGATATGCTGGCACATGAATTTCACCTGTTTCTTCTTGTGTAACAACGTCGGATACTTAAAGAGTATCATCGACGTTAACATGTAACCTCCTACTAATGTGTACAACAACATCTTATATTTCTCTATTGTTTCTTACTTGTACAATATAACGAAGCATGTCGATGTCGCGTAAATTTTATGTTTGATTAACATACAATAGATGTTTCGTATGACAATAGAAGACAAATGAAAATCTTGAAGAGCCAATTTTGTAAGTTGCAACATCGACACGCTTTGTCATACTTTTGATGCAATCATAAACGTTATAATTATGAAATTGAACTTTGGGTGCGATCGTATGAAAAGTTTCTAAAATGTGCACTACACATTTTTTTTACATCAAATTATATTGCGTATGTATTTTGTTATTTCATTTGAAACCTGTGTGTAGTTTAAATTTGTATGTAGGTTTGAATGCATGGCACATATTTTTTTTGTTACACTAAAGCATCGTTTTACTGCATGCCACGATTGCCGCCAATTTTTTATTGATATTAATTACTATACTACTTGTAGATTGATTATTAATTTATTTACTCATTAATCAATATTCGGCTGAATTGTTTCAATAGGAATATATATGTCGATCTTTTTTTCATTCGAATCGCAAGGGTCAGTGAGGGTGAGGATACAAAAGGAGAAAATTGGCGGTAAAGGGACATTTCTATTGTGCATTCTTTCAAATCTCTCATTTGCGAGTTAACTATGAAACGTTTATGAATTCTCATAAGGAAAATATAAGTGTTGACAGCTTTTTCTAACTTGATTTTTAAGAAATAAGACGTGATAATCGGTGCTAAAGGGAATTACGTGAAATCACTGAAAATTCCGAAGTGGGATAGTGCGGGATAGACTCGCAGAATTACAGGTAAATATAGGTGACTGCATAATATTAACCTGTTGGATATCTATCTTTCGTTAACTCGGAGCTTTTACGAATGCACCTGTCAAACAAGTTTAAAAGCTGCCTTTATAAAAATGTGTTCTCGCCAGCGTCTCTCATTCGTTTAACGAGATGTCGAATTCGAATTCGCCGAAAACAGATGCAAGCAGCCAAAGCCTCTCCATAAATTTGAGACAATTCCGATTCCAGAAGAAACAACTGAAACCATCGAACATGTGTAAGAGTCTTTGTATTCTCGTTTCAATTCCGAAGCTGATCGAACCGGTGTCCATCTTTTGTTGTCTTATTTAAGCATAGCTTCTTTAGCACATTAGATTATTACACACTTTGGATAATTGTTTTTTAATTAATTATATTTATAATTTGAAATGGAAATACAGAGATTAGAAAAAAACAGTAATTAGACATTATTTGACTTATAATAAAATCATTGATGTAGATTTTCTGCATGTAATTACCAATGCATAATTAACTGTGCTTTCTATTTAGCTGATGAAGACAGCAATTTAACAGGTTCTGAGATTCAATTCAGACGTAAACCAGTAAATGTAATCGAGGACAGTGATAGTGATGTAGGCAGCTCTGTTAAAGAAGTCTTGGGTGGCAAGGATAAAGTATGTATAATTATATTCAAGTTTTCTGAATTACAAATAGTACATAATTCGATCAGTTCAGATTTTAATTATTCCTTGCTATATAGAAAGCACGTGACAACACAAATTGGGACAGTGATGGTGGTGATGACAGCTCAAAAAACAATAGAAAAAGAAAAAATACCTCCAGAACTAGTAAGAAAAAAAGAAGAAAGATGAATAGAAATGAAGATGCAGATTACGATTCAGATGAAGCAAGTTTTAATAAGGATAAAGTATTTGATAGGTATGTATCTGCAAGGACATCGTGTTCTGTCGATTTCAATATGCCTAATTCAATGTTTGCAGTGATGAAGATTCAGATGTCGAAATATCTAATGAACTTACGGGTGATAAGAAAGCAGTTTTAGAATTTATGCAAACTGCTCTTATATCCGAGTTACTGTTAATGTCTCAATGTTCTCAAAAGAAAGCAAATGCTATCATACAGGCAAGACCATTTAAAGATTGGAGAGATCTGGTTCGAAAATTCCAATACAATAAGTACTTAGACACAGAACTCTTAAATTCCGCTCAAGTAAGTAGCTTCAGCAGAACGTTTGCTTTTAAATAACTGTATACATTGAATTATATCTTTTTAGGAATTGCTGGCTACCAGACAAGCAGTAGAAACTCTTATGAAGAAATGCCTTCGTCTCTCTACAAATATCGAGAAGGTCGTGGCAGCTGGGGCATCAGCAATTACGAGTCAACCTAAGGGCTTATCGTCAGATTTTAAATTAGCACCGTACCAGATGGTTGGATTGAATTGGCTCGCTGTAATGCATACTCAAAATGTTAATGGTATACTCGCAGACGAGATGGGTTTGGGAAAAACAGTCCAAGTCATTGCTTTCCTTACTTATTTGAAAGAAGCTGGCCTTACAGATGAAAGAGACGGGCCACATTTAATCGTTGTTCCCAGTTCGACGATGGGTAAATTAATATTTTAGCGTAGTTTAAAATCAATCTTCTTTCTCCTAATATTTTCTTCTTTTATGCGCAGAAAATTGGAACAACGAGTTGCAGAGGTGGTCGCCTGGTTTAAACGTTGTACAATATTACGGCTCTCAGGAAGAACGGAAAGAAATGAGATTAGGATGGCGAAACGGTGAACTAGACGACGTTGATGTTTTGTTGACTACGTATAATTTAATTAGCAGTACGCCGGAAGAGCGGAGACTATTTCGCGTTATGCCCATTAATTACGTTGTTTTCGATGAAGCTCATATGTTGAAAAACATGGGTACCATCAGATACGAAAATCTCGTCAGAATTAACGTATGTATTCATTTACTACGAATGCTGGTTCATATAAGAGAATATAATTTGTTTGTTCTGTAGGCTAAACATAGGATTCTTCTAACGGGTACTCCACTACAAAATAATTTATTGGAACTGATGTCGCTCTTAATATTCGTTATGCCGTCACTGTTCGCTGGCAAGCAAGCCGATCTGAAAAGCTTATTTTCCAGGAATCCCGTGAGTATTGAGGACCATGACAATACGACGGAATATTTTACTCTCTATTATATTTCAGAAACAACCAGCGGTTAAAAAAGATAGCGATCAACCGCTGTTCGAGCAAGAACAAGTGAAAAATGCGAAACAGATTATGAGACCGTTCGTGCTTCGCCGGTTGAAGTCTGAGGTCCTTCGAGATCTACCTGAGAAAAGTGATCGCGTCATCAAGTGTCCCATGGTGGACAAGCAGCAAAAAATGTATAGAAATTTGGTCGCTGAATTTACGGCTGAGGCCGATCAAAGCGCTGTCGTTAACGGCGTTGGGATGATGATGCAGCTAAGGAAATTGGCCAATCATTCGCTTCTAGTTCGAGATTATTACAATGACTCCCGATTAAGAGTACGTAATAAGTATTAGGTTTATTGTAAAATGATCATAGTACAGAATTTTAATTGCTTACATTGGTTTTCACGTTAGATAATATCGAGTAGATTGGCAAAGGAGCATTCGTACAAACAAAAGAATGCCGATTACATATTCGAGGATCTACAGTGGATGTCAGATTATCAGATAAATCAGTTAACAAGAACGTACAAGAGTTTGGCTGGCATGGGACTGCCTCAAGAGCTCATTCCCGAAGCTGGAAAGTTAAAGGTACTGGATGATTTATTGCCAAAGTTGAAAGAGGACGGGCATCGGGTGTTAATTTTCAGTCAATTCACAATGGTGTTAGATATATTAGAAGAATATTTAACGATCAAAGGGCGAACGTATCTAAGGTATGTATTATGTGTACGAAATTTTTTAAGATCTACTTTATACGAAACGATTGAAATGACTCTTGGCTCTTTATTCGAACAGATTGGATGGAAGTACGCCAGTAACTGATAGGCAAGATTTGATAAATCAATTTACAGAAGATGAAAATATATTCATATTTTTGCTATCAACAAAAGCTGGAGGCCTGGGGATCAATCTAACGACTGCCGATACCGTTATTATCCACGATATTGATTTTAATCCGTACAACGACAAGCAAGCAGAAGACCGCTGCCACAGGGTAGGACAGACAAGGTAGGTTCCTTTTAATTTTAATTTACAAATATAATGATTGATAAAAAATATATGCTGCAAAAGAATACCTGTCTTTCAGACCTGTTAGCATAATCAGATTGTTAAGCGAGGATACTATAGAGGAAGGCATGTACGAGTTAGCTCAAGACAAATTACATCTCGAGCAACAGATTACCGGCGAAGAAGGTAAGCGCCGCGAAGTTTGTTCAAATTTACATTTCGGTAAAAATGATGTTTGTTCACAGAAAATGAGAGCACAGACAAGAAAGGCGTATTGAAGTTACTTAAGATGACACTGGGACTGGATCATAACAGATCGTTATCGCTGTCGCCGGCGAAGAACGCGAGAACGAGTAACGGATTAATGGGAGGCGAAGAAAATTGTAATATAGAATTCTAAAGTTAATTCATCACTTAATCATATTTTGTATTAGCAGAAAAGGATCAACCATTTTTTATATGCGTATACTCTTAAACTTTGTGATAAAGTACAGTGTTGCGATTGCACAAAGAAAAGTCGACGAAACATGCGGTCAGTCTATAGTAGATTTACCATGTTCTGTAAGTTTGCCTTACTGTTTTGATTTTAATGGAGATGTAAATGTAGACATTATTTATTCATTTTTAATCCCACGTATTACTATTTACATTTTGTATATCGTCTAATCAATTAGTTTATTTATATGATTATTTAAATTCGGCCGAAATTCTTTTTTGACCGATATATACCATTTACTATATTTAATAGTACGTTTCTGTGACGTTATTGTAATAATTAAGACTGCACAATAATTGAGTATCAATGAAAAATTATGAATTTCCGAGAAAAAAACGAATCGAAGTTTTCAATGATGAAGAACAAAGATAGATATTATTCTGTAACCCGTGAAAGCGATGTTAAAAGGTTTGCTATTGTACACACATTCCTGAATGAATAACTTGCCATGCATTGTACAAAATCATTAAAGATATTATACACTTCACGTCAGGCTTAATTTATTATCTTTGCGGCATTCAATGATAATGAAATAATCCGTAGAAGCAAAATTCTAGTAAATTCTGTTTCTTTTATTTGACACACTTTTGTATCGATAATAAATAACTGACGTAAATTACAACCGTGAGAGTGAGTAGAGGAAAGAACATTTTTACGTACAATGGCTATAAAGCATAGCTAAAGGGGAATTTAACGTAGCATATATTATTCTCAAGTAATGACATTCTAAATAAATAATCGCTTTCGTTGCGGTCAACAAAACGATATGCAGAATAATAATGAATGATGCAATATGAATGCAATGAAGGATAAATGGGAGAAACGTAAAAGTCCGGATAAATTATTGAATTAACATTTCTAGATTCGAATTTTTTTTCTGAACTATTTTTCTAGATTGATTAGAACTATCATGATACAAGTGATAATGCTTATAAAATTTTCCTTCTTTCACTCCTTGATGGCATTGTTTATTAGAAATTTATCAAAAGTTAATCTCAACATCCTCTTTGTTAATGATACAGTTAGTTCGATTTTTTTAACAATCTATAAGTAAGTAAACAACATTTTTGCATGACAATTATTATTGTGAAAGATACTGCGCCATCGTTCATGATAATAAATTAAAATGTAAATTGCTCACCATTAAAGTACTACCAACTGTTTTTTACTTATTATTAATCACTTATCCGAATAAAGATTTCCAATCCAACTGATTTAACGCTAATTCCAATGAAGTTTCTATAATCTTTACGTGTATGCAAATTACTAACATCGGCAGTTAGCATCAGGCGTTCATCAGGTAATTAATTTCCGTTATCAAGCCGTTGTGAAACACCTATTAACAATTAATCTTCTCGCAGTAACGCAACCATCAATCGATCTACCTAGTGCAAATATCAATTTTTAATGTTCATCAATATTTATGCTATTAAACGTAGATACGAGCGCGCTATATCACACTAAACGTAGACTTGGGATATTTAGAGTCTCAGATAATTTTTACGTGAACGTATTGTGTAAGTGTACTGAAGCAAATAAAAATATTTGTAAAAATTGTTAATACATTCGGAGAAGGCAAGTATGAATATGCGGCTTCTGGGAAAGCCAATTCCCACGTTGTTCATAAACGCTGTTTGAGATACCTTTGGCCATCGACAGATTAGAGCATTCGTTTGTAATCGAACATTCAGGGAAATGTCAAATTACATAAATGTCCACTGCATTGATAAAACCCAGTACGATCCTTTTAGATTCGTTAAAAAAACGACACTTGTATGTTAATGCGAGTACTGCGCGGCCCGCAAAACTCGTATGTATGTATATGTACTACATATACGTATATGAGGGTGCTGTTCTATTACAAGCGAATACTTGTCGCCTGCTTTTACCGATGCGCAAATTAGCGGCAACGATCCCTTAGATCGGAACGTTTAAAATGTTTTAGGAACGGCAATTTTACGAAAGAGGAAAAATGTAAAATTTGTAAGGTAAATCGGGTCGGTCATACTCGGAGTTGCGATTGTTAGCGGGTTTGTATCTAATCAAGTCGCATCGTTTACTCATCTGAATCAGGCCCGTGATCAGCGAACGAAATGGCACAATAGACGACATGATACGAGTACCTACGCAAGACGAGAGGTACTCGTACCCGTGGCCGGTGGCTGCTATATAAATAATACTTGGCGCGAACCCTGATCAGTCGAGTCGCGGCAGCCGTACCTGTCACAGCAAAATATGTAATATATCGTATCGCGAAAAACGAAAATCCGGTTGTTCTTAGAATGTCACACGACAATTACGGATTTACATCGAGCACGGTGAGTGAACGCATTGATCTATTTAAATGTTCGCTCTTTTTTATTTCCCTTTCTTCGGCGAGCAATCCTTCAGAACGCAACGTGTCCTGTTGTGATATAAGAAACAGCGCGACACGCCGAATCACCCGTCGGCAATTTAAGAACATTTAAATAGGTGGGAATCAATACAGAATATCGTTAGAGACCAATTGAATTAACGTCAATTTAGATCCGACCCTCTTGGAACCTTTTGAAAGTACGAGTGTAATGAAACCGTGTTCACATTTAGTTAATTTGCAGTCTAAAGAGTTAATAGGTTTTTTAAATGAAACGATAACAGAGCTGTAAATAAAAATAGGAGACGCAACTATCGATTACGACAATCGCTTCCAATGGCTTTTTTACATACGTTCTGCATACATTAACGTTTTTCCTGACTTGTTAAAACAGTAGGAGGGTACCGTATTTTGTTCCACATTTTTTCCGTACAACACTGAGAACCAGCTGAACTGACCGAGTTTCTTTTCATTTGTCCATTTCTCACTCATCATTTTTTATACACCCAAACCGTCCAAGACCGAAGGATATAATTGTAATAAATAAATTAATAATAATCAAGTATTCAAATTATATGAAAATGTAATTACATGTATTAACTTCGCAAGGGTAACACAATAACAACCTTCACTTTTTTTACGGTGTTAGTGTTTGGCTGTATTGGTAATTGGTTCCATTTTTTGCATTGTGTAACGACTGTTGTTCCCTTGAAATTTTGCGGAGAATATGCTCCTTCGATGATTTCACGAGCGCAGTAGTAGAATCGGTATTCGATATTGCGGAGAAGGGAAAGTCCGTGGTAGAACGGGAAAAAAAAATATTGCGCGAAGGACAGTATCGGCCGGAACTGCGTTCTAAATGACGTTAACCCTGCAGCCAGTGGTTCTTAACACCCTTTAATCACACTCTATTTTTAGTCTCGTCGTGTTAATTTCAAACTGAAATCTGCAGAATCCTTTGTCAATTTGAAATTTGTAATCGCTTAATAGACTTAAGTTTACGGCAATAAAAATGACTAGCTTTGAGATTTAGTCTGTGATTTAGAGTCATAGTTGGAATTAGTTCAAGTACACTAAGAGATAATAAAAACTCTTTCGTCAAGATTCGCTTCATTACATCCGGTTGTCTAATAAAAGATAATTGACCAATCCTTCATATTGCCTGCTTGCCATATTGTCGTTCCGCTCCTTTCTTTGCGAGTTCAATCCTTTTTTCTCCATCGGCGCTGTTTTAGATTCGAAATTCGTAAAGAGAAATTAAGCAGTTTCCTTCTTTTTATAACGCTCTAATCTCAAGCAGTTGGTACCGTGCCTAAAGACATTTGTTTAACTTTCACTTTCATTTCCTTACCTGAAGTTCAACAGTTTTTGTTAAACAAGACGAGATAACTATTGTCAGTGGTTCAATCATTTGATCGAACTTCGTTTTTATCATAACTGATTGATCTCAGTGGACACTGATAGGCAGAAGTTCGGTACAATCCGGTAAATAGATCGGTGAACGTTATTCGAAAGGGAGGTCATCGTATCGTTGCGCGCACAGGAGCGTGAGAAGAGATTTCTGTTATGAATCGATGTTGATATCGCGGATTTAGACGTATCGGCGCCCTAAAACCGGGAGACATGGGTAACGATTGAAATCATCATAGGAAGACGTTTATGATATTTAATTTCTTCTTCTCGAAGATTGACGTTCTGATAACTGTAAATCCATTTAATTCACGGCTGATAACAAATAGAATACGAGAGGATTATCATTTGACAACTTGAAGCTTCGTAGATATGAGTATATGCATCTTTGTCTGTCTTTTAAAATTGATAGCCGATTTAAAAGTTGAAGACTTGAAAAAATCAGGTTCGACAAATCACGTTTATAGCTCTGTAAGCTGGATTGTATCCTAAATTCCGTTGATTTACGACGAACAGTTAAAAACAAGTCTCGTACAGACCAAACGGCATGTTGCTTTCCTTGACAGGGATTCGACAGCTTCTATATAAAGAAACGAGAAAAAAAATGGTATCTGTTCATCGGCTCGAGGCTTATTGTTACTCCTCAGTCTTAAGAAAGGAGGCAGACAAATGATTGCCTTCAATTGTAATCGTGATATCAAATATTTGTTGTAACTCAGTTACGTCATTTTTGTGTGCGTAGATTGTAGATCAAATTCATTGATAACTATTTGAATGTCTAGTGACCATCCGAATGGAATATTTTTTTCGTAGACGATTCAATAATAGCCTAAGTCCAAAAAATAGAGGACGTATGAAAAAGATGTAATAAGTTTAATCGATTATTTTTACTAAGATTATATTCCTTGTGTGCTACAAGTAGAGATAAATTATCAGAATTGAAATAAACAATTAGGTGATTTGTTACGTGGTAACAGTAATCGCTTTTTATATCAATTTAAACTATAGACTTTGAATCCTATTACGGTAGATAGATGAACTGGTTACGTTATCTTTTTTTTTACATTATCCAAGTGGTGAAACTGGAAATTTTTAATGTACAATCGGACTTTTACCTTCTGATTGGCTAATGCATGATCGCCTCAGACGTTTAATCACGGCTTTGTTATAAGACTTTATTATTCCGTGTGCACACAATTATTAAAACCCTTTTGCAAGAGAGATTCTTTGGCGACTACTTAATTGAAGAAAGTCAATCGTTTTTAATCCTTATTAAGCATTTTTGTCTGAAGCAATTCTTTATTCAAATTATCTATTGATCAAAGAATTTTATCTGCGAAAGATATTTTGAATTACGTTTCGATGATAATGATAACATGATAGTGGTATCCTATCGTGGTATCGTATCGGATATCTCGTATCGCAGAGTGTCCTTAACATCAGCACGCGCGTGGCGTTCAAGCTACTTTGTGTCAATAAGACAACAATCACTATTTGCCTGTGATAACAGCAATGAAATTTGTAGAATCGATTGTATCTCTGTGCTATCGATAGAGAAGAATGCTAATCATTCTTAAAAGTGAAATTTTATTTCTCTAAATACGAGTGTTCATTTTGGTAAATCTATGTACACTCACAAATATGGTTGAATATTAAATTCAAAGAATTTGAAATCTTGTAGGAATTGAGAATGGCAATACTAACTGTCAGAGCAAATATGAAGCTTTGAACAACGTGCATAATTCATCTATGAAAAGGTGTCCAAACGTTAGTCGCAAACATTGAAATTAGCACGTGATTAGATCACTCGAGAACTTAACAAACAGCCAAAAATTGTTCCTGATGGAAAACTTTCTTCGTTTTGGCACTTGATCGATGCGATCTTGAAATGATGAAACAAAGATGTATCAATCAGTATCTGTCAACAATTGTTAACGAAATTCTCGTAGCGATAAGGGGAAACCTGTAATGTCAGCAAATAATTTGATAATTCGCATCATTTTTTAAAAGGATGCACTTTTTCACTAATTGTAAGATGCAAAATACAGTATTTATGATTAAAAAAGTATGCATCCTATGAAGGGTTTCTATTTTCTGAACACTCAGTTTCTTTATAAATGCATCAGATTCATAGTCTAGTCATTGAAGTTACGTAAAAAAGTGAAGAATCTAGCGAGTTTAAAATAGATCAGCAAATTAGCATTCGTAGCTTCTTATCAAAGAATTACTTAGATTTTATTTTCACAGATTGGAAGATAGGAGTCGGTTATTTTTCTGCGGTGAGACAATTTACCAGATACTTCTTTACACATCGTTCAATAAGTGATTGATTACTTTCGGGAAACTTTGATACTAATTGATTTCGTAGTTTGAAACTGATAGAGTAAGAAGTGGCTTAAGGAGATTTTAGATTGTAAAGAACAATATTAATTTGACGAAACGAATGTCTCTCTTTACTGTCAGATTAAATGCATATGGAATGTCACCTTTTTAAAAAAAGTACCTAATGACGAGTATCGTTGATTAGATTTGAAAAAATGATGTTTCATTATCTGCGATGTGTTGAAGATTATGAGTCTCGAACGAGCACAATTTATTTCTTCATTTCTTTGCTGATCACGGCCTCCCTTAAAATTGTACCGGGGATGGTTTCCGGACGTTCTTGCATAGCACTGGTTAGGCAAGTTTCAATTGCTAGACGTCCTCTTCTCGCGTTTCGCGTTAATTTCCTTAAAACTGGCGTAATGTGTCACTTTTGACGCGACGTCTTGACGTGTCTCTGTCTCTCTTTACCCTGTGATCATTTCAAAGGAGGTCAACCAGTTCCGGCGAATCGCTGCTCCTCGAATCGCTGATTAATTCGAAACACGAACTGCTATTCTTCCTTTACTGCTATTACCATTATATTCATAATGATGACCACGTTTCATGTTTCTATTTTATTCGACGTTCACATTGATCGACCACGTAATTATCATTTATTTCATACCATTTCGTGATTACGTGTATGGTATCATAATTAGTAAGAAATATTTTTGTTATTGCATAATGATTATTCGTTTTGCTGTTCTCATAAATCCAATAATCCGAAATCTCAATCTGTTATATCCAATTTTTAATATTCGATAAAAATGTGACCAAGTTAATCTGTTTTCATATTTATGGTAAGAATAAGTCAGTATTGAAAGTAGAGGAAGATCATAATCCAGTTTAAATACGTCGTCAACAATAAAAGATTGAAATAATGCGGCCAGGAACAAAGCTGTTTGAACAGTTCGATAAACGTGCGTTGTATTATCATCGGAGGAGCTTTCAGGCGGAAAAGAGGAATTAAGTATTATCCGTTCACCCACTATTTTACTCCGATTGTCATTTATCAGGCGCAAGAAAAGATTATACAAACTTTAACAAAACTCTAATACTCGGATATGATTTGAAATGATTTATAGTTGAGAATATAAGGATAAAACAAATGACTATCGTAAATGTCTTATTTTGAAAATCAGCAATCTAATGATAAAGCTGACTAATCCAGTTTCGTTCCAGTTTCTGCATACATTTCTTCTTTGACTTTTACAAATTTGTCAAAATCTGTAACCTTTTCTTTCAGTGAGATTTGATTATATGTTACAATGGACAGTTTCTTCTTCTTGAATCTTTCGCTCTTTAGATTGTATAATAAAGGGGTTGTATGAATGGAGAGCAAATTGGGAGGAATGATAATAAAAATTTTTATTACTCATCAAATTTTCTTTATCAGGATGTCAATTAAATCAGACAATAATATATCTTATCTGAAAAACGGAGTCGTACGAAGTGATGGCAGATTGAGTGGGATCCTCAATGAGAAAAACACCTTCGCGGTACCGTCTCGAAATTATCATATTTTTCATCGGCTCTAAAATAAATTCTTACGTGAGATGAAATTCCTCAGATTCATAAGTGTGAATCGCCAGTCAATTTGCATACAAACTAAAATGTCAAATAGTTTTCAATCTCCTCAACGAGATTCCTTTTCCTCTTTCTTCTTCTTTCAAGTTAATGAGCATTTTAATTCTGTTCAGCGAGAATTTAAAAGCACAAGATTAACTTTTAATTGATGTTGAGTTTGCATGTCGAAAAATGAAGTGAAATGAAATTTCTCTTTTTACAGACTACGTTTGTAGTATATTAAATTGTTAAATTTATGTCTCAGTTGAAAACACTTAAATGTTATTAAATGTGTGTCGACAGTGAAATTGTAACGGTTAATATACTCCATTTATTTTAAATGCGCGAATAATGATAACTTAATTCGTGCCGCGTTCGTGGTTAACAGTTTTCAATGACACGAAAGCGTCATTGAGAATTGTTAATTACCGACGTGTAACGTCGATTAGCTATCCTTACAACTCCGTTCAATCTTGATATAGTTGTGAATCAATGCGTTACAGTTTCTTAGAAATTCGATTACCTAAATGTATGTAATACGGCCAGTAAAAACGGAGAATGATATCCATTTCGAATTTCAGCATTGTGTTACTGCGCTACCGTACGAATGATAAAATCAGCAGATTTTTGCTGATCTAAAGAATTTTCGCCTTGTCTAGAAATAAATCTGTGTTATGACATCTGATAACTTGAGGAATTTCGAATATTCTGGAAAGATTGGCACTCGACAAACAGTTTACGCAAGTCATTTAAGCTATGGTATAATTTTGAAATTCTGTTTACTTTGTAAATAAAACACTTTTTTAACTAAAATCGAGAAGAAGAATAAATAATGAAATGAAAAGAATTAAAACTTTTGCTCATAATTGGACACGCTACCTCAGTGTAATAGGAGATACGGACATTGTTAGTCAGACAGGCACTTTAAATAACTCACCAGTATATTCTACATGTTTCCTTTAATTAAGATTTTAGCTATGATTGCAAATAGTTTAAGATGCTATTCCAGGAAGATTAACACAGTACTTGGAATTGTTGACTTGGTACTCCTGTTCAGTTCCATTTTGTATTATCTTCAAGGTCTAGTTATGTAAAATTGTTTCTGTTGTCACATTAACATCTTTTATCTTGTGAAAACAACTACTTTATCGTTAATTATCGATTATGAAGTTTAGGATACAATTTTTCCATGCCAATTAGTGTGCGTTACCTATGGTTTAATGATTAAATTCCATAAATATTATGAAAGTGGATCAAATATAGAACGAGAAGGGATATGCAAAGAAAATTGAGTGGAGTGTTCATCAGGCATTACGATAGGATGTTTACAAGGATGCCTCGATTCTTTATCTTATAAATGATAAACTGGTAGATCATAATTTATCGATTGATTGACGCAAATAAAAAATTCCACAAGGAAATCGGCAGTATTTATTTGATTGTCGTACATTGCTGATTATGTTTGTATTAGATCCGTTTCGTAACTCCAGCCATCTGGGAATACTAAAATTCTGATTAGCCAATAACGTTTTCAAATAGCTAATCCTTTACGACTCATCGAAGACGATGGATCATTTTGATGGATGAGACGTCAGCATTTAATACAACAATTTTGACTCGACTCTTTGAGATATGATTCAAGTAGCTTTGGAACTCATTGAAATTCGCCAATTTGTCTGATATTAAATATAAGTATTTTACGAGATTTTATTTAATTGAAACAATTTCGCAGACAAGTTCGATTATCAGTAGTCAGAGGAAGAGATTTTATCATTTTGAATCATCTGAATTTCGTACAATCAAATTGAATTGAATTTGAAATGTTAAGAATGATGAGATGAAATTGATAATGACCCCTTATAAGTCAATTTAATCATCTGAATTTCATACAATTAAATTGAAATTGAATTTGAAATGTGAAGAGCGATGAGATGAAATTGATAATGACTCTTTATAAATCAATTTAATGATTGCTTTATTAGTCAAGTGTCTGTTATCGAATATTATAGATCACTATTGTGAAATATAGGGAAGATAAATGAAAAGAAATAATATAATCAATGATATAATACACATTATGTACTAGTTATTGTTATACATACCTTGTTTTTTAAATCATATCGCCTCCCTTGTGTTTTCTATCGTATGAATTCTATCTCGATAGCGCATCGCGGTTATCTGCTAATGTAAAAATATTCCATATTACAGTAATATCTCGCTCTATTATCAGGCAATATCCGGTTATCGATTCTTATCCATGAGATGCATACGTATATTAATTTTTTCGAAAATAGACTGTTGACTTTTTCCACTAGCCCATGTCAATTGAACTAAACAATATCTCGGCTGATAACTGATAATAAAAATGTTTGCTCATTTTTTCGATAATTCGTTGTTTCAATAACAAATTTCTGAAGCTACTGCTTTGACTTTCAATTTTCATCTTTTAGAACATTTCGACAAACGTGTTTTTGGGAGTCACTAAAAGATTTCAACTAAACAGTTTCGAGTATTTTATTATTTGTTTTAATTTTACACAGAAGAACAACAAAAACAGGCACATACACATTACATACATATACATTTTTATCAGGAGCATTATTATAGAATTCGTTATAATTCAAGGAAAGTGAATCATAATATGTACAAAGTTTGTTTAGTTTGATGTAGCCTTGAAAAAATTTTCGTATAGGAGTCACGTTCGCAGTTATCATCGTTTCGGTAGCATCGTTATTCATCGAGGTGGATTGTGAATTATGAATCGGCGGTAATTCTAGAAAAATTTACCGTGAATCGTGTCCAGATTGCGAATCCAAATTCGCGTCGGAAGGGACCGATTGCTGATTTCTATCACCGACAGATAATTCTCGCTGATCACAATTTTATTCTGATAAGCAATTTCGTTCCGCCGCCTGACTCCGGATGATACTTGATTATTAAAGAAACAAATGGGCTTACTAAGACACTTGAAATTATTGGTACTCTTGATACCAGTGAATGTCCATTATGATTGCTCATATGCTCATTTATCACTTTTATGACATTAGCTTTTCAATTAAACTGAAAATTGTTTCCTCTCATTATCAGTTTTATATAATTAAACGTCTTTTAATAAAAGTATATCTCGATTTGGAGTCTATAATTGATGTAAATGTTTTTTTTTTTAGGATGCTCTGGATGATAAGAGATGGACGTCACCCAAAAACAACAAAAATGGGTAAGCTTCAGCTACTTGTTTTCCATTCAGCGTTCGCAGTCTGATATAAAATAAGTTTAAAGCAAATCTGTGAACGCGTGATGACGATTCTTGTTCCAGTTACGATCCAGGGCAACGCAAGCCGAGCATTTACGTGCTGGAATTGGAGGAGAAGAAGAAGAGCGTGCAGGCGAACGAGGAAGACTACAACCCGTATGAACACAGGGTGGTCGCGCATCCAACCACGTGGGTATCAATCAACCTCCTTTCGTTACCCGGTCGTTTGTTTACGCAGCCAGCTGATTCCTTCCTATCCTCATCTCTGTTCATCGTTTTATGACGCGTTGCCTCGCGTCGTCATTCATTTCGAATCAGAGGGGGAGAGATGTAAATCGATACTCGTTTAACGCGAGCCCGAACATTTGCATAATGTCGAACGTCACACGCATGCGAAACGACCTGACGCGACGCTCGGTTTCGTTTATTCCGACTGCGTGTCCCCGTGTACAAATTACACGGCAGCTAGCCCGATTAGTCATGGAAGCGGAAGAGCAAGAATTGCCCATGGAGAAAAAAATTAATCGTGTCTATCTTTAGACTTTTATGAATTCCTATGTACATTCCCTCGCTGATTAATAAAATTCTATCAATACGTTAATTAATTCGTTGCATGAATTGTGATACATTAATTAACTTTCTACTAGTTAGTTTTTATTGGCAACAAAATGTATGAATGTTTCAGGAGCATGGAAACGTTGTTGCATCTACTGAAAGGTAGTTTAGGAACGGGAATCCTCGCGATGCCACGGGCCTTCCACCATTCCGGTTACGGCGTCGGTCTAGTCGCGACGATAATCATCGGCCTATTCTGTACTTACTGCATCCGGATATTGGTCAGCTCTGAATACGAGCTATGCAAAAGGAAGAAGGTGCCCTCGTTAACGTACCCAGCGACGGCGGAAGCTGCGCTCGCCGAAGGTCCGATGCCTCTCAGGCGACTGGCGAAGTCATCAGTGTGAGTACTTCGCATTGAATTCAAGTTTTGTTATTTAAAATCATTTTTTTAAATAAATTTACAAGTTCTGGAGAATATAATGAAATAGAAATACAATGAGTTCATTATTAAACATGATTGTACTAAACAATTGAAAAATAATTCTAACTGTTCTTACAGTCATATCATCAATCTGTTCCTCATGGTGTACCAATTGGGAACTTGCTGCGTCTATACCGTGTTCATCGCCACGAATTTACAATTGGTGAGTATAACCACTAAACGATTCTCTCTCTATCCATAATGTCACACTCTTCATCAATCACTTAATTATAAAAATATTCTCCCACGTTTATACTTCTCGACTACTTGAAGTCTGAGAGAAAAGACCCAAGCTGTGAAGCATTTGCATAGATATTTGAGATTAGACCGATTGCCCCAAGGAGAGACTTGAGACCAGGTGATTTAGAGACAGAAAATGCATATGAGAGTTTCTTTTTTTCAATCGGCATTTGAGGCAGAGATAGAAAATCTTCAGAACACGTTTTCTCTATCTTTCACGTAGTGAACAGAAATACATTGGATGCTCGGTCTGTTCTCTTATTTATTCTTATGTCTATGAGCATCTTTCGGTAAAACTAGTTCCAATCAGACTTGGAAGGAGCGAATTTGCGTAAACAGTCTGTAAATCGAGAGTAGCTTGAACGACGTGAACAAATTCCGAGCAGGCTCGATCTAGTTCTCCTACCAACATGGCAGTGACATCACCTGTTGCCTTCATTACCGTTCTCCAACCTCCGTTCCCGGTGTTTTTCCCCGCCAACGAGTACCGAGAGAAATGACTCACTGGATTTCGCTACTCTCGTCAGCCTGCGCGCCGCGCCGATCCAGCTTTTACCGCGAGGAATCCCGCTTCGAAGTTGCGCGTGTGTGGGCAGGGTAAAAGGAGCATGTAGGTCAGGGAAACACGCCGCGAGGAATGAACGATTAGACACCGCAATGCGACTCGAGTCAAGGTGATAATATCGGTTCAGGTTCGTTGACACTGCATCCGGACACGCACCGGCCAGAATCTCGAACGGCCTTTTGACCCTCTCCGGCCAATTCCATTTCGGGTCGCTCGCTTACTTCTGCGTTCGTGACTCACGTTCACAAACTGAAGATCCTACGAAATATCGACCGTGAAGATACTCAGAAGGCACTCCCAAGGAGTTCCTTAGCTTGTTTAGCACGAAGTACACTCGGCTATAATATATCGCGTCACTTGTCGAAGGTTGTTTCCTGTATGTTTCGGTCTTGCTTTGAAGGATACGAGTAGTTGGTAATCGATATAAAATGCAGAGTAGTAATTTAAAAAATATTTCGTTGTTTCAAATTTTCTTATTTTTATATTTCAAGTACTCGCAGAACCTAATCTTTGTTTCTTGAACTTCGTACTTGTACATTAGTCAGCCCGATTGTCTTATCGTCGAGTTTCATTTAAAAAATATGTAAATTAAGAATGGCGACTCTGTCATTATCTTCAGGTATTCCACGGTGAATTTTCAAGGAGCACGCGCAGCTTGTTGAGGCCGTTTAAGAATTACCGCTTCCACTCGCGGATATAAAAATCCTGTTCGTACAGTCGTATACGTATACATACATAGAGTGGAAGGATTCGTCTGACTTGTCATAAATCTCGGTAAAAGGTAGCCTCTCCTCGGGTCGTTTCAAGTAATTCCCATCACGTTTACATTAGCGACGAAATGTAAATTTAAATCGCTTCATTTGCTAATCTACCGCGTTAGTTCAGTACCCTTGTTTCAAAAATGAATACAGAATCTTCGAAAATCAAATGAAGATACATTAGCATAATTAATGTCCAGTTGACATCGGAACTTAAAATCACTGTACTTGATACTCCCTGATACTAGAAATAATAAATTAATTTTATTTTCATTTTTTTTTAAACTTGCATTATTTAATACTGAAAATATTATGTAGTACTTAAGAATTTTGAAATCAGTGATAAATTTTAATTTCTGAAAACGATTACTGAGTTTAATCAGTAAAATAATGTATTTAACATAAAGTATCCCTTTTCACTGAAGAGATATCTCGTTACTTGCAAAGAAAGTATCGATAAAGCAATGTTATGGGAGACATAGGTCATGGTCCTCCTCGTGCTGTCTAGTTAGAGCCCTATTCTCCACCGCTCTTTCACGCTTGGCTGATTACGTGCGTCAGGATTCAGGTTTTCGCCAGCACGTTGCATCCAGCTATTTACTAGCCGTAATTACACGTGTCGTAACTATCCATTACGTTGCGTAGTACGCAACGTATATACGTTCCATTGCACGAGCAGACCAACACGGGAAAACCAAGAGCGTTGGTTTAGTTTTCAAACGGATCGCCTTTCATGGAATTCCACTTGAGATCGTGTTTGGCTTTAACCTCGGGTCGCAACGTTTATTTGTTACGTTGCTAATTTGAAAATTGTTCTCTATCAAGATTGTTTATCCTTATTTTATTTCATTTAAAAACGATACGAAGTTATATTTTCGCGAGGAACGCTTCTGATTGTCTCGTTCGATTGTCCCAGGAAAGTCGATCGTTTCTTAATAATTATATAATCGCGTTTACGTAAGGGTACCGTTTGAAAGGAGCTCTTTCTTTCGTGGCGCGGCAGGGAAATTGTGCGCCTCCGTTCGTCGTCACCCGACGAGATGGAAATCGCGGTTAAAATTCACCGCGGCCAGTTGTTACATCATTCATTTAATTACGTAAATCGAAGGTTGAATTGGTGGCAAATACGACATTAAGAGCCTGGGAGTCACGTTTCCGGTTGTCCTTGAATCAAGAATGCTATAATTGCTCGATATCGACGATCTCTAAACGCTGTACCTTCGCATCGAGACGATTGTGTGCTTCTATGCAATTCAAACGTCGCATCAGTGCCTGCAATTTTTTGTAATTATACGCTTTACTGTAATTTACGTTTCGTTGATAAAATCGCACATACTGTGGATTCAAGAAGGAATGCTAGAAATTTTAATTCATAAATAATCACGCCTGTGCATTGGATTATTTAAGCTTTCCTGTTTATTTCACTTTGATCATTTCGGGCTTTGTGTATTGGTACTGTGAAAGATGTATAATTGTCATAACTTCTTGCATTCTTTTATTACACGAGTACACTGTAATTGTCTACTTATCCATCTCTTTAATTTAACGATTCATTTGATTTTTAACACTGCAATTTGATACTTGCATTATTTAATACTGAAAATATTATGTAGTACTTAAGAATTTTGAAATCAGTGATAAATTTTAATTTCTGAAAACGATTACTGAGTTTAATCAGTAAAATAATGTATTTAACATAAAGTATCCCTTTTCACTGAAAAGATATCTCGTTACTTGCAAAGAAAGTATCGATAAAGCAATGTTATGGGAGACATAGGTCATGGTCCTCCTCGTGCTGTCTAGTTAGAGCCCTATTCTCCACCGCTCTTTCACGCTTGGCTGATTACGTGCGTCAGGATTCAGGTTTTCGCCAGCACGTTGCATCCAGCTATTTACTAGCCGTAATTACACGTGTCGTAACTATCCATTACGTTGCGTAGTACGCAACGTATATACGTTCCATTGCACGAGCAGACCAACACGGGAAAACCAAGAGCGTTGGTTTAGTTTTCAAACGGATCGCCTTTCATGGAATTCCACTTGAGATCGTGTTTGGCTTTAACCTCGGGTCGCAACGTTTATTTGTTACGTTGCTAATTTGAAAATTGTTCTCTATCAAGATTGTTTATCCTTATTTTATTTCATTTAAAAACGATACGAAGTTATATTTTCGCGAGGAACGCTTCTGATTGTCTCGTTCGATTGTCCCAGGAAAGTCGATCGTTTCTTAATAATTATATAATCGCGTTTACGTAAGGGTACCGTTTGAAAGGAGCTCTTTCTTTCGTGGCGCGGCAGGGAAATTGTGCGCCTCCGTTCGTCGTCACCCGACGAGATGGAAATCGCGGTTAAAATTCACCGCGGCCAGTTGTTACATCATTCATTTAATTACGTAAATCGAAGGTTGAATTGGTGGCAAATACGACATTAAGAGCCTGGGAGTCACGTTTCCGGTTGTCCTTGAATCAAGAATGCTATAATTGCTCGATATCGACGATCTCTAAACGCTGTACCTTCGCATCGAGACGATTGTGTGCTTCTATGCAATTCAAACGTCGCATCAGTGCCTGCAATTTTTTGTAATTATACGCTTTACTGTAATTTACGTTTCGTTGATAAAATCGCACATACTGTGGATTCAAGAAGGAATGCTAGAAATTTTAATTCATAAATAATCACGCCTGTGCATTGGATTATTTAAGCTTTCCTGTTTATTTCACTTTGATCATTTCGGGCTTTGTGTATTGGTACTGTGAAAGATGTATAATTGTCATAACTTCTTGCATTCTTTTATTACACGAGTACACTGTAATTGTCTACTTATCCATCTCTTTAATTTAACGATTCATTTGATTTTTAACACTGCAATTTGATTAATTCCATCCACGTAAGAGAATATTGGAAAAAATTCCTGATTCACATGTAATATTCGTTTAGTGATTTTCGGAATGAGAATGACGCAAGTAGAACTTTGTTCCATTTGATGTGCTCGGCCCATCAGAAACTTAGTTGATCGAAAGTGGGTCGCGGTTCGTTCGATCCTCGATGAGAGAGGACACCGTTCGTAGAGAAGGTCGAGAGGTGAGAAAAGCCAACTTCCTGCGTCGCTATGATTCCAGATCGTCTGCGAGTCCGAAAGTCGGGGACGCGTAAGAAAGAAGGGGAAAATTTTGTTGTGTGATTGTCTGATTAATGCGTGATCGGCAGTGGGGTTGCTGACTCGCAATCGAGGTACGTACTTATGTAACTGTCTTTCGAAACGGTCTTCTCTTTCCCTCTTGTTTACCTAAAAAAAATATTCCATGACGTGTTCCTCCTCGTTTTTTTTTTAATGAACGATATATAAGTATAGATAATAATGCGAATATGTTTCATTGCGTTCATCATTTTTCACACACACTTTCATTAAAATAGTATTTCTTTTCTATGCGAGATGAAATGAATACCGTTTTCTTATTTTTATTTGCAGGCGTTGAAGTCCTACATTTCAGACATAGACGTCAGGTTGTACATGCTGGCGATCTTGCTGCCCCTGATCTTGGTCAATTGGATCAGGAGCTTAAAGCTCTTGGCGCCGCTGTCGACGATCGCTAATTTCATCACTCTCGCAAGTTTCGGTATAATATTGTACTATATATTTAGGGAGCCGTTGTCGTTTGAGGATCGCGAGGTGATCGGGAAAGTGGAGAACTTCCCGCTCTATTTTGGCACCGTGTTGTTCGCCCTCGAGGCTATAGGTGTGGTGAGTACCTTTTGATTAAAGTACATTTTGTCATCTGACTTTTGAAACCTTGCAACGATTTTCTGTTTACAGATCATGCCATTGGAGAATGAGATGAAGAAGCCGAAAGCGTTCGTGAGGACGTTCGGTGTACTGAACATAGGAATGGGCACCATAGTTCTCCTGTACGCCGCGATAGGTTTCTTCGGTTACATTCGTTACGGCAGCGCTATCGAAGGTAGCATCACGTTCAGCCTCGATGAGCCAGTGATCCTTGCGCGGAGCGTGCAGATCCTGTTGGCCATCGCGATCTTCTTCACCCACCCGATCCAGTGCTACGTGGCGATCGACATCGTCTGGAACGAGTACTTGAGTCCGCATCTTGAGAAAAACTCGCACAGGCTGCTCTGGGAGTACGTCGTGAGGACCTCTCTCGTTCTTCTCACCTGTAAGTGAATGTACCCAAGTCCTTCAACTGTACTGACGTCAATTCCGGATCGTAAACACGGTGTCGGTTGCCGTTATTGCTAAACTACACTGAGTCACGCGACCGATTGAACGTTTCCTCTGCGTCACGATATAATTTAAAAAAATAAAAGTATTTAGTAATAATATAGTTGAATTTGAAGAAACATGTGTTTTTTACTTGTTTATGAATAATTGAATAGATCACAGGTGTTGTTCTGACTTTAATTGTTCCAAACTTATAGCTAATGCGAGATTGATTCGAACTGGTTGAAACCAACTATCTCATAAGCATAACCGCTATCGATTCACCCTGACCTGCAACCCGATCCTTTCTGACTGCGGTTAATTACCGTAGAAGCTTAATCGAATCTAACTCTAACTCACTACAAGACTTGTTTTGCTTGCTTCACGTTTTACATCCTACAGCAATGATTTTATTTCTACAATCAATTAAATTCTAATAATTTTATTAGACTTGTGAATATGATTTAGATAGGAATTTCTTATATAATTTAATTATGCATCTTTTGATATTTTATATATATTTACATATTATATCTATTCTTTATATTTTTCAGTCCTGTTGGCCGTAGCAATTCCTCAGTTGGACTTGTTCATCTCCCTGTTCGGTGCTCTCTGCCTTTCCGGCCTCGGTTTGGCGTTCCCAGCAATAATTCAAATCTGCACGTTCTGGACCGTGTGCGACAACACGGAGAAGTACATAATGCTGGCGAAGAACATGTCGCTGATCCTGTTCGGCCTGCTAGGGCTCATCGTAGGAACTTACACGAGTCTTCGTGACATCATCAAGACATTCTCTTGAACCACCCTGAAAGCTTGACGAGAAAATCATAGCGAGACAGGGAGACCGGCGGGACCGATGAAGGGAGGAATTGTTCACAAAATGGAAAGGGAAGCTTGACAATTGTGATACATTTAGGGAAGTTTTACGGTATTTCACGGGTTTGGAAATCTGTCTGGACCGAAGATCTATGCATCATCGAAGACGTAATATTATCTTGTTAACCAGACACTAAGTGTGCCTTGATCGCGTAGTTAGTGTATGCTGTTCGAGGCCTGAACGCAGAACGCGGCCCGAATCTGATGAGCAATGCTTTTTGATGCGATTCGACTCTTTTCGCCTGACGAGGAACTATTTTTTTTTTATTGTTTGTCGCGGTTGGTTTTTAAAAAACTAAAACTGCGCGACGAATTTCATCGCGGAACACGACGTGATATACATATACATATATATAGATTTTATTAATTAAGATCGGTCATTAGTGTAAATCGTTTATTTATGCCAGACTGACATACGGAAATTGATCTTTGAAACGATCAACGCGATATTGCGATCGAGTCCCAATTTACGCGTACTCGTTCATGTTAAGTGATGTACCTACTTTAAGAATTGGTGACTGAAAAATGAAATGTGTCCACACGGAAGAACATTGATCGCGAAACACCATTTCATTTTTTAATCTCATTTTTCGGGGTCGTAACGATTTGCAATTTTCGCTTTAACGGGGGATATCATCCGCATCCTCACACGCGGTTCTTTGTTGTGGACTAAGAATTCGTCGCAATGAAAATTGCTTCGAGAATTATTGTTTGGGAGACACGAGGTTATGATATTTCCACGAAAAAATTTTATACAGACAAATTCAGAATTTTTATAAGAGAATGAGTAACAATCTTTTGTACGTAACGATAGATAATCAAATAACGAATCCCGTCTGCGTCCAAGTTGAATTAAATTATTTATTTGCGTTAGACTTGAACCTAAAGCTCTTGAAAACTTTCTCCATTCTTTTTATATCGATAACGTATTTGGTACGTCTTGCTTATTAAGAATCCGTTTCACATTTTTTATTATCGATACTGTACTCTATACTATCAGTTGTACTCATGAATAAATTTGTTATGACTAGTTGCAAAATGGTTGTACGTTCTCCACCCAATTGATCCAATTAAGTAATATTAATTACATTTGCATTAAAATAAAAAGAATTATAAATGCCTCGAAACATTTTCTATACTCATTGTTGTTATACTGAAATAAATTCTAAAAATATATTAAAATTCGCGGAGGTAGAACGGTGTCAACTTTTGATACTACATGGTAAGTGATATATCGTCAAGGGGTGAAAGTTGCTCGGCTCGACGCAGACGCCATGGGACGGTCGTATGGATCGGAATCGGGGTGGCTGCCCCCGCATACCTCGGAGCAACCCCGGCTGCAGACAGTTGCTCGCTGCACGTGTGCAACGCGACCCCATGTCAATAAGAGCTCCGTCCGTGTGTGTGCTATCGGCACACGCGTGTCCGTGTTCCTCGTTTTCGGCGGTTTAACACGAGAGAAACCGTCTGACGTAAGTTCCCTTAAGAAATGTTGCGAGCCTCTGCTCTCTTCAAAAATCCTCCTCTTGGCGAACTGGAGATTATAATTGTGTCCATGGACTCACATCCCTCAAGTGATTTTTATTTTGCCTATAGCTCGAAATATGTGGTTTATCAAAGTTTTTAAATTGTGATCTTAGTTATTTTAACATTGTCATTTTTTTATAAATTATAATTTAAGTGATCATCAGTTATGGCTCACGTTCCCTACTATTTGGATGTTTATGCGTATTTCTTTAACATGTGACAATTATTCTAATTTGATAGAAAGTAAAGATTAGAAGTTATTAAATTCTGAAGTGATAAATCTTCTCAACATAATATTTGGAGGGTGGTTACGTAACGTGGAGTTATGCTATAGAAGGGTTGTCGATTCTATAGAAGCATCGCACTTCGAGGTGCCTCTTAATTCTCAAACATTAGAGAAATGTCTAGATATTCCTCTAATGCCCTCAGGCGTTACAAGTTATACTAACAGGCATCACTTCTTTCGTTACATATTGTTAGTAATCGTGTAACATATTTTATGCTGCTTATGTAATAATTTTCGTTGATCAATAAATCCGATGTTTTACGTCTTATTGAATAACTTACTGACATCCCTGAAGGGAGAAGTGTTCTATTTTTATTTTTAATTTATTATAATTGGTAGTGCGTTCAAGACCCGCGATCGATCCGGGCGGTTAATAATCCAGAGGGAATCTTGGCGAGCCGAGTAACCGAGTAATACCTATATCCCGCCACGCCATGTACACAAAGGTACCTAGGTAATCGATATATTGCCATGTAAACTCCCATCTGATCCGTGTATTGCGCTACGTTCAACATTTTTCATCGTCTAATCGTGTGAATAACCGCAATCGTAATCGTTCAGATCTATCGTCACTGTTATCATTCACGGATAACAATCAGCTGTGAACACTGTCAGCTATTACGTTTTCCATCAACGGATTCACTGATAAAATTAATATTCTATCGTAAATCGGACTACACACAGGTGTCTTCAAATTCAATTCTGTTTACCTCAACGATTAGTTGAAATTTCAATTATTGCATTGATCCATTCTATAATTTAATAATAAAATATTAAAGATTGATAAGGTTTAGGGTTTTTAATAATGTTTATGGTGACCTTAGCAAATGGTTCTTACATGTGCTCTTCGCCTGATTCCTTTTGTGGGTCAATCAATATGTCCTCTTCCAAATCTGATGCTAACGTGAATTTATATCATCTGAGTACAGCCAAATCGGTGCACTCGTTTTTTAGTTATGAGCATCCTTGAAATCCGACGAGAAAACAGTTTCCTCTCATCCTTCCTGTTCTCGGTGATGCCAAAAGCTTATACATTAAAATATAATAAAATCTTAAAATTAAAAACACATCCTTTAATATCATTAAACGTTGTCAATGAAAATCGAAAGAAATCCAAAATTCAAACATTGCAAGTTTTCGTAAATTCCAAACTCCGATGGTCCAGATTTCCCAGCATTCTCACTCCGAAAAATCCCTTTGCACCACGATCTCTCGAAATCCTGTCCAGTAGCGAAGCTACCGATGAACTGATGCGTCCGGAGGTTGGAGATCTAAATCCCGTGTGCCGCACCGGAGGCGTACGTACGTAAGTAATTTCTATCTTGAATCACGTGACGCGGTGTCCGCGAACGGGTTGTCTCGTTGGAAATTGAAATGTTTAACGAGGCCCAGTCGCTAGACATCCTCTAGCCCGGCCGCATTAGCGTTAGGAGGTTCCCCCTATCCCTGGTTACTCTGTGGAAAAGAATAATCGCGTTCCCTGTCTGGCGGCTCCAGCGAATTTTTCGTATCATCATTTTCGTTTCCCTTCTTCCGCGGATCTGTTCAATTTGGTAAGTCCAAAGATCATTAATTCTTCAAATTCTTCCCTTTCAATCGATTACGTGACATCTTCTTTTATTTACCTTATCTTTGCCACTGTGTTTCCTCGTTGTACTATTTATTGGGATTTGGGAAACACTGCAGGATTTCTATGACTTGTGATTTCACATATATCAGAATTTGAAAAGCATGAAGACAATTTATTTTCGCAGTAAGAATATTTAGAAAATCTTAGACTGTTTGAAAGTGTAACAGGTTGTTGCAAGTTCAAACGGCGTTCTTAAATAAAAAGTTGATTGCCTGGTAAATTAAAGTTGGAAATAAAAATAGCGCGCAGGGCATGAAAATTCGCTAGTATCAAATTGAATCTTAAATAGAATGAAGCAGCGGTAGTATGATGACTGAGAGTCAGTTCAGCGCGAGTGCGAATATGTATTACGCTAACCGTTCAATAAAAACTCTATAAAGTGTAATTGATTGGGGAATTATGTGTATGCATCGAGTTAAAATTCCAGTCAAGTTTCACGCATCGTACAGTTTTTCAGTCTCATTCGGATAGTCAGTTTCAAATGGACAGTGTAACTTTTTAAAGTATAAATTAATTACCAGTTGTGCTATTAAAACATAATACTTCTGTCACTCTTTTTAAAGAATTGCAATTTAATTGCCTCTTTAAGTGATTGCATTAGTTTGACAATTTGTGTTAATTTGAAACTGTGATGTAATTATTAAGATAATCAGTCGTTGATATGATGTCACTCCAATTGGGAATATAACAAACGGTTTAACTATTATTGCATAACGTTTCCCTCATCGATCTTAATAACGCTTACTTTATACTGCGTTTACGACGAAAAATAGGGGTCACTCAGTTAACAGCCAAGAAATCGTCTCGAGATTGAATGAATCGCGAATTATCGAGTTTCCACTTGCATTTATCCCTTAACTCATTCTTCTCAAACAAAGTGTTACGCAATGATTAATACGATGCACGGAAATCTTCAAGTCCCTTCATCACACACTCTTTATTGTCATTCAGAATTACTATTGTAAATGGAACAATTCATGTTTTTCGAAAAGATAAAATTGGTTTTGGGTCTTAACAGTTTGCAGAAGAGCGACGGAATTATTTGATGTAGTTTAAATGACAATGACAATCATCAGACCGGCAGGTGGTTCACTGATCAGGTGGGAGAGGAATTGTTCTCTCATTCTAAAATTAGCGGACGCATGAACATTACGAAAATGGGATCACCTAAATACCTTCCATATTTACGGATATGTTACAGAAAATGTGTTTTGAACCGCACGTATTCCGGTCGATTCAAATTCAAATTTCACTCTTCCGCGTACACATTTTTTAATGCAGCAAGTCTGCCCTGATAAAAGAAGTCTAGCAATTACACTAATTTTCGTATTTAACTGAGACTTCTACTAATGCCTTCCGTGTTAATTCAATAGCAAAATGTAGTAGATGATAAAATGTACAGCTGTTTATTTCAACTTATAATTATGCATTTTCATACAATTCTTTTTATAAACGAGAACTTTCATTACTTAATGTCAAGAAATATAGTGATCTAATTTACGTATTGACCACTGTATATATTCCCGTTGACATTGTTTCGGAGCTGAGCGTTGACAAACCGGTCGACGCGTTCCCCTAATGCGCTCTGAGGAAGTAAGAATTAGGAGATCGATTACTATACTTAAATCGCGTCGAGTTCAAGTAGCCAAAGGTGATTTGAAATTTCCTCTTTCACCCCTCACTGTCTTACAAAGATACCGCTTAATGAGAGAAATTATAAAATAGTCCTTTTCCCAATTTATCATATCAATACTGAATTACCAAAAGTTTTAAAACGCTTCATTTCTTTAAACTGACAAATTACGATTCCAATAAATTATTTGAGTCTTTTAATTAACTGAAGAAAAATTGAAGCTTTTTCACGTTTTGCAGGAGGAGTCAGCGAAGACCAAAGGAAACTACTAAGGATAGCCACCAACTTCGTTTAAGAAACCAGCAACAACATTCATCATAACAAAAGGTGAGTAAAATCGATTTTTGAAGTCTGCAGTAAAAAGTGAATTCTATAAGTGCAAACGATGATTTATCTAAGCCGTCGAGAATAAGGAATAGAAAACGAGAACAGAATAAGTAACGACAGTCGTGGGCGCAATTAAGCCTTTTTAAGGTAATGCGCTTAATGATAATCAGCGAACAAGAAAGTCACGCGCGAGAGCCAGATAAGCTTGATAAGCTTGAACTTGCGTTTGACAAACGCAACCACCATTTATGTCGTCCGGTTCCTGATTGCGTAACTTAATCGCCTTAGATTTTAACCCAATTGTTTTCTGACTCTGCTTTCGGATGCTGCTGGACTCGCGTTACCATTCGCCTCGGTTTTCCTCATCGACGAATCGCATCCAGTTTCGCAATCGACCGGATCCGGACCGAATCAATTAGTATCGATTGAGCTAGTCAACGTGTCGTCGAAATTTATACGTTTCGCATAAAAAAATTGTCCTTCGGACGCAATTGCGATTAATAATTCCCAGTAGTTAGTTCAGTTTACGTTTTTAATATTCTACGCACTCCTTTTACAAATGCGCGATGAGTAAAATCACGATAGAGCGGCCGGATAGAGAACAATTAAATTAGTTGCTTAATTAATTTAATTAACGCGTAGTCAATAAGGTTCAACTGCTTATGAAGTTCACAAGCGCTTTTTAATGTGAATGGATTGGGTGTTGAACACAATGTCAATGACCAAATAAAAGTGTTAACGAGTCAATGGCTGTACTCGGTCGTCGCGTTGCACTTTCACAAGCACCGTCGATAGAAGCTACTGATCGTCGAATTCAATTGGGGACTGCAAGGTTTTTAGTTTTCTTTATTTGAAAACGGTCGTTGATGCAGTTCGTGATAATTCTGTCGTACAGTCGTGACTCCAGGAATGATCATTATTCAGTCAAGGAGAAGTTCGTGCATCGGTTCAGTCATTCCGGCCTCTGCGGCAATGAGATAATCGTTTCCTTATTTCCGAATGTTTTCGCGATTCATAGAATCACGGTATCTATTCACACGGAATCATTTCATATGAAAGATTTGCTGCAATTCCATTTGTTTGATAAAAAAAATTCCAATCCATCATTTTATTAGTTTTATCCATGTTCTTATGTTCATTTATGAGGCAAGTTGAAGGCAGGGGATGAAATTTATAGTATTGGAATATTTTAATAAAAGTTTTTCTCATACGGTCTTTATTTTTCGAAAAAGATTGATTAATTTAAAAACGCATACGCGTCCGGGATTGTTGGTCGAAAACAGGCGCACGTATCAATTCGCAGCGCATCGCAGAACCAGAAGTGAGAACGCGTGGTTACAATATAACCTTCAGTAAGTTAACTACACATTTGACCTCAATGCAATAATTAAGAGCAATCAGTTCGCGAAAGAATGTGCTAAAGCTACGACGCGCGTTTAGTCTGTCCGCGGACCGTACAGATTCCCAATGATGAATCGCCGTTTTTATCTTTAGCCGGGTCGCTCCGTGTCCAATCAGTAAATTGATTTGGATGTTGGACGATACGGATCTGGGTCGAACACTTTGATCCTGGTACGCTCCTAATGCCATCCTTCTGGATCTTGATCCTGCGCGACTCTTAGAGAATTCCCTTGACCATTGTGCGATTGGGAATTTTCCTATGTCCGTGATACGTTGTACGAGTTATAGAATCATAGTGGTTGATGTGCCACGCGATGGATTGGTTGCAAATAGTTTGCGCAGTCGAACCAATCAACATTCAATTGTAAAAACAGACTATGATTTATAATTGTGTACATGAGAATGCAAGTTGTCTAGCACGAAATATTTGACTACAAAAGGACATTGTCTCGAGTCTGTGCCATCATTACTAGTCCTACGTATGGGAAATTAAAAAATATCATTAAATTTTCTTAAAAATGTGGCTTACATCATTTTAATTCTCATTTACATAATTGGAATATCAAATTTTCTGGTTTAAAATATTGTTTTGCATTAAAGATTCGGAAGAGGCTCCAGAGACTGAGGAATGAAAATGGAGAACGCTAAGGAGGAGACGATAAACATGCAGCTGATCGCTTCCGAGAGTCCGTACAAGTACGTCTCAAGCAAATATATCGAAATTCTTATTAAGACGACAAAATTCTCTCTTCTTTTATTTGTAAATTCTTTACCCATATCTCTTGTATCTATATGTGGGATAAACAAAAAGTTGGGGGAAAAAAATTACATTTGCAAATTGATACGGTTGCAGAGTTAATAATGAAATCGCCGGAAGCGGTCTGAATGAATCGGAAGTCCCAATATCGCCGGCCACAAACACAGAAGACTACGACCCCCACAAACATCGGAACAGACCGAATCCAACTTCGTGAGTAATGAAATTGGATCATTTTTGTAAAACGCAAAATTAGCTCAGTAAACCAAATGCAAATACAAATGGTACATCTATATTAAATCATTTTGTCTTAAAAGTATACAAAGTCTTAATTAGCATCTCTTGTCACATTTGTTTTAAACAGTCTCTTGCCTTGCCTCTTAGGCCTCGTACACAAATATTAACACAGCGATTTTACCTGTACTATCTCAGGAACGCGGAGACGTTGATACATTTGTTAAAAGGCAGCCTGGGTACCGGGATCCTCGCGATGCCCAACGCGTTCTGCAACAGCGGGCTGGTTACCGGCGTGATAGGCACAGTGATCATTGGAATATTGTGCACATACTGTTTACACGTATTAGTGAAAGCTCAGTACAAACTGTGTAAACGGTTAAGAGTTCCTATATTGAGTTATCCGCTGAGCATGAAATATGCTCTCAAGGACGGACCCTACTGTGTTCGATGGTTCGCGCCTTACGCACCGTAAGTAAAAGTCAATCTACCCACGTATACGTCTAACATACCCCATTGCACACACGTACGCAGGCATATCTGTTACTGATTTATGAAAGTGTTTGAATATTATGAAAGCTTTTACAAGTCACTGATATAATATTATAAAATAATTAATATATTGAATGAGTGATCAAATACTTTTGTGAGTCTGTTTCGCAATTTATTCCTAAGCCTCATTATACGCAGAACAATGATTGGAGATTGCCGATAGCATGAACGTAGTTGATGCCTGACTATAACTAGCTAATTCTACTTACCGGACATTCGCCGTTTCTCATCAGTGAATCTTCGAGCCATTGAATGATTGGGTTAAGTCAAAAGTTCAATGCATGTTTCACATCCTTTGAATGAAAAATAATGCAAATTTTAAATTATAAAAATTTCCTAAAATGTTTTCAAAAGTATTTTTTATCTCTTCATTTTTCATTAATCATAGTCAACATTTTAAAATATTTTTATAATATTTAATTTTCTAAATGAATGAATGGATTTACGAAGAATAATCAACTTCATTTGAGCTAACACGAAGCACGTCCAAAAATCACCTCACCAAGCGATACCTAAACGACTTTATACAACCGTAACATGAAAGTTGCTATTGTATTTGCAGAGGACTTGTAGACGGGTTCATGATTGTGTATCAATTGGGAATATGCTGCGTTTATATCGTATTTGTAGCGTCGAATATCAAGCAGGTAAATAGCAGGCGCCATAGACCAAAGCGAAACAAAAATGCAGAACCAGTCGGTAAACGTTTGCTTTTAGAAATAAGAAAGGCAAGGAAATAAGTGAAGAGTTGAGAAAACCGACGAACAGGCAAAACCTGTTCAAATAAGAAAGAAAGTAAAACAGAAAAAAATGTTAGAATAGTTGTTCGACTTTTATTGTCATCTCGTTTAACTTATTCAAACATTGTTATTTCCTCTCTTTTCTTTTTGTCTTTTCACGCGCAGGTGGCGGACCAGTATTGGGAACCGTTGGACGTTAAGACCCATATGCTGATCTTGCTGCTACCATTGATCCTCATCAATTACATTAGGAACTTGAAATTATTGGCACCGTTCTCCACTCTCGCGAACGTGATCACGTTCGTCGGTCTCGCTATGATTCTGGTATACATGTTCAAAGATCTGCCATCCCCCAGCGAGAGGGAGATGTTCGGCACGCTTAGAAATTTCTCTCTCTACTTCGGGACGACGTTGTTCGCCTTGGAGGCTGTCGGCGTGGTAAGTTTTCATTCGCAATTCTCGCTCTCCTAATTCCGAAAAATGATTAAATATTTTTCATCCGAATAAATGCAGAATTTACAAGTTTAGAATTCAGACTATAAATAATTATTTAATAATTCTGCAATTCTGTAGAACTAAAATGATACTCTATACATGTATGTTACTTCGTAACAATGGAATATTCGAAAGGAAAGGTAAATCGTCACCATTGTTAAAAGACATTAGGTAACAATGGAATATCCGAAAGGAAAGGTAAACTGTCACCATTGTCAAAACATCTAAAAGACATTAGGTGCAGTAGGATCGGAAAAATCCATAACCGTTTAGAAATCATAAATATTTTAAGCGTGAAAAATACAGCCACCCTCATAAAAATAGGGATTATAATCCACCCTTATAAAAATAGGGATTATAATCCACCCTTATAAAAATAGCGATATTCACCATCCGAAACCCATTTAAGATATCCTGACCGTCACCGTCCGCCACAGGCGAAAATTTACCTGCATTACCAAACAATACTTGACGCGTAGTATTCTTTTTGCTGACTAAACACCAATAGTAAGGCCTACAAAACGAACGCCTGAAACATTCAGACAACCAGTAGCATTCATCGCAATTTACAACCATCGCCAAACGGCTTCACGCCTACTAAATTTCCCGTCATTAGCTTAAAAGAACTGAAGCTTACCTTCAAGCAACGATCGACGAGACAAATAACTACGAAACATAGCTAAAAGAATCTTTATTATAAGTGCCTCCGAGACTTTTGTGTAGACTGTTCAAAAATATATTCTAACATCCGTGAAGACTGTAATTCACTATGGCCGGTATTCAGAGTCGTTGCTTATTTTTAAAATCGTCTTAAGAATTTGCTATCCTTGTCTATCCCATATTTCCAGTCCTTGTCTTGTACAGGGAACATGGACTTAAGCAATTATCCTATATCCAACTAACCATTCGCGGTTAAGCCTGCGTGCGAAATGAGCATATAAAAAAAGTTTCTTTCAATATAACGAAAAGTTTTTTACTCATTCCTCAACAATATGAACTATATCTATTGTATTGGAATAAAAAATTTCATATGCATCGACGTGATAGAATTGGTAGACACGTGAGAGGGTCGCGTAATAACGCATGTATCTCCACGGTTTCCTTAATTTTAGTCGGCGCGATCGATCGATCGTTTGGCCTCGTCAATCATTATCCGTCTTGGTTATCGTTAGACTGAAACAAGTCTGCGCTTAGAATAGATCAACGGCGCCGACGCATCGTTAACAAACAAATAACCGGCCACTTAGAGAGCGACTTTCAGATTGCCGTAATCAGTCAATGCGTCAATGCAATCCCTTCTATTATATATCCAGCCGTTCTCAACCGTTAGGGAATAATCCAGTGATCCTCAGTTTATCGCTTCTATTAACTAAGTAGTTTTAGCAAATAAATTAATTCAATTTTGATTACACATGAAGAGATGCGTATTTGAATATTACAAATTACGCACGAATAAAATAATTCTGTTACAGATCATCGCGTTAGAGAATAATATGAAGACACCGCAATATTTCGGAGGCTATTGCGGTGTCCTCAACATTGGAATGACGGTGATAGTGGCTCTGTACATTGTCGTCGGTTTCTTCGGTTACATAAAATATGGAGCGGAAGCTGGCGGAAGTGTTACTTTTAATTTACCGGAGAAGGAAGTGTAAGCAATTCTCTCTTCTTTTGTCATCCTTAATCGCAGAACGTAAATCAATGTACATAACATATTCATTGTTTGTGTTACAGTATGGCGCAGAGTATCAAGATAATGTTTGCTATAGCTATTTTCATCACGCACGCCCTGCAGGGGTACGTCCCCGTCGACATTATTTGGAATACTTACCTGGAGCAGAAAGTACACAAGAGGAAAATCTTTTGGGAGTATGTTTGTCGGACGATCATCACCCTGGCTACTTGTAAGTTCCATTATTACCTCTTTCTCTGTAACGAGATTCAATTTAAAACAAAAATCTTGCTCGCAGTCACTTTGGCTATCACGGTGCCTCGATTAGGCCTGTTCATTTCGCTGTTCGGTGCCCTGTGCCTGTCCGCCCTGGGCATCACGTTCCCAGCGGTCATCGAGATCTGCGTAATCTGGCCGGACAGAGAGTTCGGCCCGTGCATGAGCATGATTCTGAAAAATCTATGCCTGATCATCTTCGGTATACTCGGCCTGGTGATCGGCACCTACGTGAGCATCGTCGACATAGTAAACTCCTTCAAGTGAGGCGCCAGCGGCCGATTCTCAACGCAGGAACGTGCAAAGAGAGAAAGAAGAGTGGAAACGAGAGCGGAAGAGCATTGAGTGAATTATGTATGCAGGTGAGAGTGCAGGGGAGTTAAGAGAGTTCCGGGACACGCTTTTACTCGCGTATAGAAAGAGAGACGCGGCTTCGTCACTATTTTTCTCAATGGCTTAAAGAGCTAGAAATGGAAACCGAGGAGCATTACGGGAATGCCTCTTCGTCGCGTGATCGCCGCTGTCGATAGTGCACTTAGAACAGAGTGTAGATGTCCTATCTCTGGACCGCGGATGTTTATGTTTTACAAAATTAAATCTGGAATTTAGATTGTTAGATAGATAGTAAGAATTGTTTTATTTGTTAAGCATTTTCCAGTCAAATCCATAGACATCCGCTGTCTGTTTAGTTGGTGCAGTGTTGGGCAAGAAACGTTGACAAGCTTTTGAATCAGCCAAAGAAAATTAGGAAAATTAGCTTAATTGCCTTTCGAGTTCGAGACATTAGGTCAGGTCGATATTAAGACGTTTTTCCGCAAGAGGATAGCCCTCTATGCACGGTGCCTATATAAATAATTAACTGTTAATTGTATATTTAGCTCACTTTAGTCGCACTGCCTGACAGAGCACTTCGAACGGAAACCGATTCGCGTTCTCTGAGCTGCTCCGTTTATTCGAAAGTATCTTACATAATTAATCGTAAAAGGCCAAGTAAGTAAGTTTACGATATCGTAGATAGTTAATTAAAAGATGCAATTAGGAAAACGAAGCCTCCAACTCGAAAGGAATTCCAATTAAGTGTATAATAATTGTTAAGCAATTTCAGTATTTTGATTCGAATTGGAATTGAATTAGGCCCATCACTGGACTCTGGAAGATAAAAAGAACAATCGCCGACGTATTTCTCTCGCGATAAACGAAACCTGTGATGTGAAGATTTTATATAGGACCGAACTGTTGCATTTCTACCGAATTGTTGATTGTCGTCCTTGAACGAGTTTGCAGGCGTATGTGTCTGCGTTATGTTTATTGCAAAGTTGAATCACAGGATAGGATTATTGTTCGTGGACCTTTCTTTTGTCTCAGTGATACGAGTACTTACGTTCACTGTACTGTTACTAAATACGGATTCAGATGTTGACGAGAATTCCAAACGATAAAAAAAATTCTATGGCATGAAATGCCTTTTCTAATATTACTAATAAAAGGAAATGAAAATAACAACAAATCTTAGCTTGTAATTTATTATCTATAAAATTCGAACCAAATAAATGATATCATAATTGATTATGAATATGATATGATAATGATATGAATTTTATAATAATTAATCTCGTGCACTTTACTTGAAATTATCTTCTCAACACCTGAATCATCGCTAAACATGATCGTATACCACACTTGGTAAAAGTAAAGAGACGAGAAAAAGATGAAACAAAAAATGTTACTAGTAATAATAACAATAAAAGGAAGGTTTAAACTAAGTTAAACGAAGCCAGCAATAAAAACTGTATCGGCCCATTGTTAATGCCTTATTTTCTATTCATTCGCGATGCTTGTGTAACGAAGCGTTATGCACACTCGCAGCTGTCGCGAAACAGTTCGCGGACAGACTCAAGAACCAGAGTTCAGAGTTCAAACAATGGGACACGTGGTACCGCGGATCAGAGTTCAAACAATGGTACCGTGAAAACGAGACGAGGACGCATCTACACGCCATTTATACATGTATACCGTCACTGCCGGGAACCTTGACTCGGGTCATTACGATCATTGCATCAAATGACCCGAGATACATCCGAATATCTGTTAAGCCTCGTGCGCTCGCGAGAGAAATTTTGTCATTGCTCACGTGCGAATTAATAAAATTTAATCGATGCATAAAATAATTTATCAATCACTATATTCTATTACTTAAGGAAATCAATTTTCGTTTCTCTGAATTCAAGAATAAATTAAGTGAGTCTTGTCATACTTATTTGAAATTCATTTTGTTCATAAAATTTACAATTTCGATTTGTTCGACAATCTATATGAAGACAACGATTTTTAATACAGCGAGGCTTTAAGATATTCGCCCGAAATCTTTTTGTTTTCGCTACGTTCGCACAATCATTAACTCCCGTTCACCGCTTCCTGGACGCTTACCATACACTTTTGTTATAAAGAAATTTTTATTTAGACTTTCTCACTTATCTCGTTTTTTACTCAACTGCTTTCCGTCTTGGCAACTAGGTTCGCGTCCGCGGAGCGTTTCACTTCCTAAAAGAACTCCTTATTTAAAACGATCATGTATTGTAAGTTACTGAGGATGTTTCTTAAAAAGATATGCATTTTGTGTATAAGTTTTAAATTCTGAATATTTTTGTTTTTGGTCATTGTATTTCTGATATAATAAACTCTCTATTCTTACTCGCCTCGCTCATTTCCAACCTTTTTACTGCCATCTCTTATTCCATAATAATTATTCTAATCTAGCAATCGCAAAATACTTCTTAATTAAGAAATGCACAAAATTAACATTGATATAATACTTTCCACGTTTCAAAATTGAGAAAATAAAGAATGATCATAGGATTCAAGGGAATGAATCAGCTGATTTGTTTTTTATACAATGTATTGTAATTTTCACTAACTCGTACCGTTCCTAATAAATGCTTCTTGTCGAGTCCGCTATTACTTCTCCTGTAACTCAGCCCATTTGCGAGTCAACCCTTTCTGAATCCATGTACAATACTTCTTCATCTGTTCTCGGAATAAGCTGTTCTCGAATACACAAAACCTTTTCAATCACTTTCGCTCAGGAAGAGTCAACCAGATTACCAAATTGCGGATTTTTGTGAAAAAAATGATGGATGTGTATTATAGCATGGCATGAAATAATACGTGATACACAATCTTCAACCAAAAAGTTCAACTTGAGAAACCAAGTGACATTTCATATACGTAGTTCGAACATCTTTATGTATCTCGTTAATTCTGTACTTAATTGTTGAAGTATCTCTATTTTTTAAATACGCATAAAAATCCGCACTCCAGTATTTTCAATATATCGCGTAGAAGAACCACGGAATCGACGAATCACATTTTTTTTTCTCTTGTTAACAACAATCTGTCGGGACAGATATAAGGTACGTCGATGTTTAAATATATGCTTTTATACGTGGAAACCGAGGGGTTACATTATCGTTTAATTTAATATTAAATCCGAACCGCGATCGTTTCGCACGCTCAAATGTCCTTTCCGTTTAGATTTTAGTACCACTATCTTTCTTTCTCGTTCAATCAAACAGTCGCTCTGGGAATTGGTGCAGTGATATTAATTATACATATAGGAAGCCTGTCGTACAGCATTTTCTTTCAATTGTCGATCACAAGATAAGTATTGACAAAATAAATTGATAACAAGATAATGAATATAAGTAATAATGCTACTCAATTACATAAAACTTGATTTGAAATTAATGGAACAAAAGGTATCACAGAGTTATCAACTTCACTACGTTATTTATAATCGCACATCAATTAAGAATGAAATAAAAAAACGAACATAAAAGAATCACCAAATAGCAATGCTGTACGACGTTCGAGTACTTCATGTTTCCTTTGCCTTCCTTGTCTGTCTCGAGCCTCCTCATAGGTTCGCACGGATTACGCGTGGTCACCACTGAAGTAACTACTTTGCATCATGAACAGTTTGTCGATAGGGTTGTGAATCGCTGCGTGTAAACTTTGCGATAACGAGGGTGCCTCATGGGACGCGGAGCCATGATGAGGGTGGCTGCTGCTCTGGTGGCCGCTGTCCTGACCGCCGCCGCCTTCGCTCTCGCCTATGTCGAAACCAGCCTCCGTCCCGTCCAACGACAGATCGCTGCTGCAGAAACTTTCGCCTGAATGTCCCGGATACGCGTCTGAAATTAATCAGTAATGGACGATTGGAATACTTATCCATATTTCATTTTCTTTTAATAATAAAGAAAAAAACGTATTTTTTTTATAGATCAATTTGTTTTATTGAGTCCTGTATTTTCTTTTACCGAAATGATAGATTATCCGTTGAAGAATTTCTACGGCCAAAAGAGACTTACCGTCAGGCGAGTACGGGTTATTGGGGTTGAGCGGCTGGGTGGCCGAGGGGAAGCTAGAAGATTCCCCGTCGCGCATGTTCATGGCGTTCAAGTAATGACCTGCGAATGAGATCAATCGAAATTGGAATTGTACCAAAGACGTGTTTATCGAGGCCCCATTAACCAGTCTTCGCAAAACGTTCAACTAATCAAATACTATATTTTAATAGACATAATAATCCAACTACCAAAACTCAGAATAACAAATAAGGTCTAAACACTTTTCTATAAGGTGAAGATAGAACAGTTTTAAATATCGTCTATTGTTTCTTTAATACTGACTACCTCATTTGTTTCGAAAATCATGCATTTTTACAAGAACCGATGTTTGTCGGAAACGGTGATAGAGTAATTCTACTTCCGGGTTTGTTTCTGGCATGAGAAACTATAAGAATTTTGAAGTGAATTTGCACAAAAATTGTTTGTTGTTGGACTGCGTTAATAGACAGCAGCTTTTGTGCATTTATAATAAATTTAGGTATGTAAGTAACATTAAAAATATAAAAATGCATAAAGTAAGTGCATCAAAATGTACACCATAATGTTGAAAGAATTAAAGGATATTTTTACTTTTCATTTTATCAATTCAATCCTAAAAGCTTTCTTATTCGCAGTCTGATAATTATAGTTACTAATAGATGGTACAATGAAATTCTTACTGTGATCGCTGTGGGGACTTTCAGCTCGACGTTCCTCTTTCGGTTCCTTGTCAGATCCAGACTCGGTCTTCGCCTTCCTCTGTAACTTTTTCATCTTCGCCCGTTGATTTTGGAACCAGACTTGAACCACTCGGACGCTGAGCCCGGTATCCTTTGCCAGGGCCTCGCGAACCTTCCGGCAAGGCTTCGGCGATACCTCAAACGACGCCTTGAATTGACGTCTTTGTGCCGATGTCAGGATCGTTCGCGGCCGTTTCGGACCCCTGCGGCCGTCGCGAGGTCGATTCTCGTCCAGTAAATCATCGTCTGACAATCAAATTCATTTCGATACACAGTTACAAGATGAACTTCAGTCTTGTCAGACTAAGATAGATTGGTGCACATGAATTCCTACGAAATTTGTACACTCTAGATCGATCGGACCTACCAAGTAGTTGGTTACATCGAAGGTAAAAATTGAAAGATTGTTCATGACAAACTGCTCTATCATCGATTTCATCGCAACTGAATTTAATCGCATCGAACAAATAAAATGAATCTTTCGCGCTTCACAGGATTTTACGATCTGAGAAAAGATTGGCGTTCTTCTCTATTTTTATTCTCCGGTCTGACTCGTGGAAGAAACGTTTCTAATTACGCTTGGTTTGAGTAGTATTTACCTTGAAAAGAGAGAGACAGCCTTGATTCGAAATTCCTGCAGGTTTTTACTTTGGATGTCTTTAGATTGTAGTAGTACAACCTGCGAACAATGCAACAAGGTATGTACATACAATACGTTCTCGCACGGTTTCGTTTATTATTATTTCAACTGTTTACCAATTGCCTTTTTATTCTAACAAATCTCTATCTTTTGCTCTCTATTTGCGAACGGATCTTTTTTTTTTTTATTTACATATCGGTAACACGAGTATCAGGGAAGGAAGAATCGCACGAGCGAAATTCTACGAGTTTAAAACAATTTGCGTATTCGACAATGTTTCGTCGTTCGATTAAAAAAACGTCCGTCCATACGTTCCCGTGAACAGACCGCCAATCTCGGTGGTTACCATCGATATCGATAATAAACTGAAATCGTTGATAGTCGAGCAGTTTGCTGTCACGGTTTCACGGGAAATGCTATGCAGTTCTACACCTGTCGCGCCTCGTTGCGGTTTCCAAAATCATTTCACAATTTTTCATATTTTTTCAGGAAGTAACCAAAATGGGATAAGAAGAATTCTGAGAACATAGCATGCAGAGAGAAAGAAGAGCGTAGAAGTAGAATGTGATTTACGTACAAGTAAATGAAATATCGTGTCCATATTTCTACATAAACATATGAGAATGATAGAAGACGAAAATGATTAGTTTTCGTAAGATTCTCTAGCAGATGGGAGAGTAAGAAAAACAATGCATAATGAAACACTCATTGAAGAAGGGTAATATACATTCGGTCAGTAGGAAGAAGGGAAAAGGGACCTGGTACCAACCCTGTGGACTGTTCAGGTACAACTCGTGCTCGTAATCCCTCCGGCAGATCGGCTGGCCCTGGCGTAAAAAGTATTGCGCACCGGGGGGCAACGGTTGACCGCACATGCAACACGCAAAACACTCGACGTGGAAGACCAGCCCGGGCGCCCTGAGCACGAAATCCGAGCAGCTGATCTTCTCCATACACCTGGCGCACTTTACGCTGAAGATCCGCTCGTAGTCGGTCCGGCAGTAGAGCTTCAGCTCGCGGATGAAACAGGACTGGGTGAGGGGCGCGCCGCAGGCCGCGCACGACAAACACTCCTCGTGGTAATTTCGTCCAGCGACTTGCATCACGTATTTATCTGATATTGTGCGTCCGCAGCCGGCGCACATCGTCTCCAGCAGGCCGGACTCCGTCTTCACCGAGACCGACGGCTCTGAAATTACCGCCCGATGCCCTTTTACACAGTCAGACTGAACATTCTCATTCCGAAAAGTGACTTATACTACTATCATTTCTACCCCTTCACGTATGGATGAATTGCTTGCAAATATCTCCTTCGAGAAATTACAATGAATATTGTATAGATAGGAAAATGAAGGAAAGGAGAAAGATTAGAACTACATTATAATGCTAAAGATTGAACGATTTTATATTTTTCGATTTAATGCTAAAGATTGAACGATTTCTTTTTTTTTTTGAATAAACGGAGGAGAGATTATAGTAGGTATCACTCAAAGGAGCATTTAACAATGCTTAATCCAATACCTACAAACTAAATAATCTCACCACGAGTCAATAAAAGGGAGAATCTAATGTTACTCAAAAGACGTTTCATTATATCTTCTCTTGGATTTCAATTAGTTTATGTCATATTATCTCTGGTTTCTATTCTGTCGCATATAATAAAATAAAATAGACTACATTGTATTATTTTATGCTTACATCATAATTTTATATGAAGAGAATGGTTATACTTTGTTTGATCAACTGTATGAGACCGTACGTGAAATGTTCTGTCAGAAGAGAAACAAATGCGCGTGGAGTTATTCCGAATGATATGGCCGTCAAGCTGAGAAATGTGATAGCATTCTAGAGCGAAGCAATATTGCGAGTCCCATGAAATTTATTCCGTCGCTTATCGATTGCCGATAGTGATAAAGTTACGCCGCGACAGAACGCAGTACTTTCTATTTTATTATCTGAATTATAATATAAAAGTCCATTTAGAAATGTGCATATACTTAATCTTCACGTACAATGAGCAAGAATAAACGGTGTCAATGTCGATGAGAGATAAAATTTTAACAGCAAATAATATAGAATGTGTAACACATATTTGAAATTCATAATGGAAATAAAACTACTTTCTCTAATAAATCAGGAGTATGAATATCGAATACTTTGTTTTGTTTGTTTCAGTATAATTCAGCTACGCAGGATATTGTTCTGTGGGTCTTTTGTCAAATACAGTTTTGGTTGAAATTGATTCACACTGGAAACTATCTTAAATTGTTAATTGTCTTACCTGCATTGTTGTTGTCATTGGCAGGTCTGAACGGAATCGGTGGAGCAGCGGAACCCATGGTCGGTGGTCCCGACTCGCCCTGCCGATTCAAGCTACCGGGTAGCGGAGGGTAGAATTCCAACATGGTTCCTCTCGGTTTTAACAATTCCACTCCCTTTTCACTTTTAAACACTAGTGAAGAAACCCTTCTTTTAGTTACAGTTCCTCGCTGTGTCCGCTTCAACTCTCAGAATCACTTTTAACGAAAAATTCTTCAGTTCATTTGAAATCACCGAACGAATCACCCGAAGAATAGTCAAAGTTTGTTACACAGTTCACGTCACAAAGGATCACGCCAAGCGTCTTTAACAGGTTCTACCACCCCCTTCAACCCTGTCCCGTTTTTCGAGGCGGTAATAGGTCTCAAGAGAAGACTCTGTACGCGTTGCCGGTCATCCTGACGGACACTCGACAGCGACAGTGGCCAGGTTTCACGATAGGTACCATCCTCGGTATGTATCTTCTTTCGCGTTTTCTTTAGAGAATCGTTGTGACACGACTAGCGCGCGTTGACAGATCACGGTACGTATGAGCCACCGGCCCGGACACTCGGCCTTTTTTGACGCCAGCCACCGCATCGACAGTGAAAATCATCCCCTACCCACCGGCCTAGGATTCCGACTAGGGAGGGTGAGTGCCGGAGGCGGGACTTCGCCTAACTCTAAGGGAGAGTTCGGATCGAGCCAGCCGGATTGGCTTTCCAGGAATACGCCCCTAAACGATCCAAAGTTGGAGGGGTTGAACGGTGGTCGCGGTGCTCAACTGGTTGCACGATTCTCTAGCTTGCGGAGATCAATATCTCGCGACAGTGACGTACGCTGTCGGTGGAGTACTCGGGTCGCTACCTTCAATCCTGAGTCTTTATAGATTTCCTGCCTTGGATTCGAAAATCGTCATGCCTGGTGTAAAAACAAGAGACAAATGTTCCTTCATTCTGTGTCTTATGGGTCACAAGTCTCATAGGTAGTAATGTTTTATAGAACGCTCGAATTGCTTGACACTCTAGATACATGATTTAAAGTAAATTATTCTTTGTAATATTTATATCATTTCTTGCTTATGATGTATTATCCATGTTTAGAATCTAGGAACGTTAAAAGAAATAAAACGTCGAAAATGCTACTGTACTCAGTACATGCAACTAGTATATCTTTTTAATAATGAAAGAGATCAAGTTGACTGTTTCTAAAGAATGCACTTCATAATCTCATCCCTAAGCATAGATTTGTCGTTAACATCAATTCAGCTTTTATCAGTTTAATCTTAAACTGATAGGAAATAGAATCACGATAACAGGACTAATTTTCCTGAAAGACTGTTTAGCAAAATTTTCCGCAGAATCAGAGAGTCTCGAAAGAATTCGTTCCAGGAGTAATCCCTGTAACAGTAAGCGTATGCTTGGTGTCGGGTCCGACTCACCGGTTCCACCCCGCACGCACGTGTTCCACGGTTTAGCATCACGTCTCTCGACTCGATCTGCCCCTTTGTATCGGGGCAGCGAGCGACTGTAGGGGCCGTAGCCGAGTTTCATAGCCAACTAGGCGTATCATTCGACGTGACGATGGGGGAGTGCGCGCCGCGGGACGGACAGAGACAAAGAGGACCCTGTATATAGGCTTTTATTTGGCAAACATCGCCGATAGACGGCCCGGGTACAAAGGACCGGGCATTGTCGCGTATTTACGCGGACTGACAAACGGCCAAATACTCTCGATCCCACGTCGCATCTCTCTCTCCGCGTTCGTACTTTCAAAATACATAAACGGGGAAACATCCTTCCAGGATCTTGGGGATATTGCTCCCAGGGAAATGCGAGGCAGCCTCGTCTCTTTCACCATGAAAAGACACGTGCTTTTACTCTGAACCACGTCGTTCTTAACATATTAAATTACTTAATCTCTAAGTCAGTCTCGTTTTGGTAGCGAACAAGTTGTTGAATCACGCGGCAGATTTTGTTCGAATGTCGAGGAGCCTTGGAGTACGAGAGATAAAAGGAACCCCCGGCTTTTTTATTTGCTAAATATGATTTCTATACAGACAATGTGAAGCGGTAAACACCTCTCGATGCTCCATATGCCAATTCTTTCGAGATTCTCGGCCGTCTGTCTTTCAGTCCCGATTAGCTCTATTCAAGCGATCGTTCGTCAATCCTTAAAGTCTGGGCACATGGTAAAAAAATCCATACTTTGAAGAAATGGATTTTATTAACAACATTTTGTTCAATTGAAATATTAAATAATGTCTTTAATATGAATCCTCTTTGGATGATGAGCATTAAGTTCATCTACTATCTTTGAATATAATAATTCTTCACGTCCATTAAGAAGTACCAATTTTATTATTTTTTCTTTCGACAAAGTTATGAGATTTCCTGAGTGAAACCTTCCAAACCTGTATGACGATAATCAAATCCCAAAGAGGACATCTGAATACAGAATAGTTGAATGGAATATAGACACCTGAACAAAAAGGAGAATCAGTGCAACGTCACCTGGCAAACGAGGGGTTTGAAGGACAGAATCGAGACTCGATCATCCCTCGCGGGTCGGTAGACGTTTAACACGGTCTTATCTCGGGCATAATAGAAATTAGGGAAACCCAGTGACCCCCACGATTTCACAGCGCATAAAGGCACAAAAGTCGACGCCCGGATGAAATATGGTTCCTTGCAGGTGCATTCGCCCCATTCCCGATCACGGCAACCCCGGCCCATTGTCCGGGATATGTGAGGCTAACGCCATCCGTGTAATTATGCTGATACGGTTCCAGCGTTGTTTCGTGACAGGGGGTCAAAGCGACCCCGGAGCACCCTTTGGTCACGCATCTCTCGGGTGACCTCTCCTCATTGTAATATCGCGCCACGGATTCCGATTTTCCCGAATATCAGAGAAATTTGCACAGAGATAATCAGAAAAATCCTTTCAAAGCAAATTGAATTTAATCAAAGTTAGAAGTTCAAATATACACGAATATAGAATAAGCATTTTCAAATAATACAGATATTAATTTTTGATGAACGCCAAGGAAAAAGGGACGAACATTTATTAATTCAATAATATGGAAATTTTCCTATTGCTTATCATTCTGCCTTCATAATATCCAGCAACGATGTAGATTTAGCCAGAATATACATTAACTGATTAAAAGGATTGTTGAACGAAAAAGGGAAGATCGATAAATGAGAATCACCCCGGATCTGGATTGCTTTTTAGAAGTTTTCTGCACGTGGCTAGCCGTGCACCCTTTGCTCACGCGAATGGGGTGTCTCTGCATCGTAATACGCGTCGAAGAATCTGGAGCCCGGTGGTTACGGCATGGAGATTCACAAAAGGACGATTCGAATTTTAAATTACCGTCATTGATTATAAATTAGGCGATGCAAGCTGTACAACTTGCTCGAGTGCATGCTAGTGTGACGTACTGAAAATTGACCCTTCTTTTTGCATCATCTAATCTATTATCTAACGATATTTATAGATCTCAGTTTCATAGTATAGTTTGTAGAGCTGTATGGGTATCCGATAATTCGAGTTCGAGGCGGATTGGGAATTTTACTCGAGTTCAGATTGGGATCCCGGAACAATGTTCAGTTACCCGAAATTAAAACAGAGCCTGAACCATAAAAGTTTTTAATCACACAAGTATGCATAATACTTTTTCGTGGATATCCAATTGAATTGTGTTTTAACTTTCAGGTTCAAAATGATTTTTTAGTGTAATAAATATAAAAGTCTACAAGAAAGACAAATATTTTACAATAAATAGTGTGAAATGATATTTTATTTTAAATCTGAATGAAGGAAACATAATTCCTCAACGTTTTCTGATACGAGTTCTCCTCGTAGTTGTAACAATATAGTTGAAAATCAGGAAGAGCTTTTGACATTTAGGTTGTATTTCAATTTTGAGTACATGAATATTTTTTTAGGATCACGACCTGACCTGAATCGACTACAAATTCGAATACTGAAAAGTGCGGGTATCAGCTTTATAAATTTTTAGAATTCCGACCCGATCCGTCTTAATTGCTTCTCGACCCGACTCGAAGGTCCAATACCTGAAATACTGCATGCCCCTAACAATTTGCAATTAGTATAATAGCAACAATAAAATACGTAAAAGTACATCGTAAACGTTTTATTACCGAATATATCATCCCTTCAAGAGTCGAAATAAATTATTACTATTACTATTACTATTATGTTAGTAATACTACTACTATTACTATTATGTCAATAAAACGATTTAAGCGTTTTTGTAAAAGCATAACTGTAATTCTCCTATTGAATCTATTTTAAAAGCTAGAAGTTTCAATACACTCCGGAAACAATTACCGAATAATTTACGTCACCTTAGACAATCGGTCCCCTGACGATTAACAGAAGAAGCATGAAAGACAGGAAGAAAGAAGAGATGAAAAATGGGGTGTTTCTTCTGTAGTTGTAGCGCAGCTGCCCTCATCGGAGTTTCGCGTCCTGGAGCTCCTGTTTTCGCGTATGGGCGCCACGGCATGGTACGGCGCATTCCTGACAAAGTAGTCATCACGCATTCCTGGGACGCAATCGTGAGCCTCCACCCTCGTTAGCAAAAGATGGATTCGTGCGCGTCAGCCTGAAGAGGACGCGTTATTACATTTTATCCGGGGCCGACCAGCGTGGAATGCCGCCTAAGAACCCCTGGCAAAAGGGGTGGAACAAGGCCGAGGACACGTGCCTCGTTGGAATAGGTCATCTTCCACGATCAGACTCCGTTCCAGTTGCTTCCTATTCAAATATTCTTGCATCGAATTTGAATCTATTATGCGTTTATAACATTATGTAAAATATATTCCATGAATAGAAAATTCTGATGGTTTCTGCAACTTTAAACTAAATAATTCTTCTTACATCCTTTGATGTTCCATGAACATTGCCACAAAAGTATGTGAAGACTTGCTTGGCTTTAATAAAACGATCTAAGAGAAGTAGGAATCACAATAATTAAATCAATTTGATGATACTAGAGTTACCACCGGTACTATTACATTACGCATTCACACGTAACAAAATTTGACAACAAACATTGTTTAACAATAATGACTTCAATTATATACAACGACATACAGTCGACATAGCGATTTTTATGGCACTAATTTTATTGAGCCGGGGTTTATTAGTCTATTGTTAGTCTGTAGTTTTGTACGAATAACATCGTTTGACGTGGAAATTCATTTTCTCGTATTTCGATTCGGCTTGGTAAAAGGAGTACGCGAAGTGGAAACGGCACGACAGGCGCGTATCACTCGATACTTTTTTTCTTTTTCCAAGCACTTTCCAACGACCCGATCCTTTGAGAAATGCGCCGGGTAACGTAACTCGCGCGGAAACTCGACGCGGAATGTTTTCCGAAGGCGGAGCCTTTTCCCGAGCAGTGTTTCAAGTTTCATACGTATACAAATGCATGCAGAGTTTAAGCGAAGAACGGACAACTTAGTCCCTTGAATAATTAAAAAAAGCCGTTGCTTAAATATTCATATTTTCGCCGTGAATACATTTCTTTCACTTTGCCATTCAAATCTTGCTCTCCTTCACCATTCTTCCTGCTAGACTTAAACAATATTCAATCATAAATTAATACTCTCTACGTCAATAACAGTGCGCGAGACGCGATTAGAATAGTTTCGCACGAGGCTAATTAACAATGCTGATTAAATTGCAATAAAATTATAGTAATAAAGTACTTGACGCTTCTTATTGATTCCCTAAGTGATCTATTACTGGCCACCCGCAAGGACAGTCCGGAAAAAGTAAACAAAAATCAAAAGGGACATCGAGCCGGGCAGACGGCCTCGCGATATAGCCACTCAGCAAACAGCCACCCCCTGTTCGATCCTCTTCAATTCCTCTCGAGAACCCCTCCCACTATACATCCAGCAGCGAGCAGATTTTTATTTTTTTTTTTATCCGCGACTTCCGACGAGGAAGATGAGCGTCAAATCGCGATCGAGTATCCCGTGGATCCTTCAAAGGAACGATTTTCCGCGCGCTTGACTCGAGACACGTGCCGGCGCGTGGCACTCGTGCGACGCTATACAGATAGCAGCCGTGTTATGTACAATTGCAGAGGAACAACTTGTCCCAGGACACCCTGCGCAATGTTTTTTAGATCACAGATACTATGGATAAAATCTCAATGAATCGAGTTAATCGTTTGGCGATCATCCGACAAAGTATCAGGCGAATAGATTTTAGGGTGGCTGCGAAACGTGTCAGGTTGGGACCGTGGGGATTTGCAATGGCCCAGGGTGATTACGATCTTTACAATAATTCAAAGTGAAAAATCTTAAAACAGTGAAATGGTTGCACGATATGATGACACGATGGTAAGAGAGAGTAAAAGTGTCCGTCTAAGATTATCATAGTTTCCCTTTGTCAAAAGAGAGTAAAATCTGATGGAAAAACAGTG